AATCAAGCATAAAATAACTTCATTTTGATTTGAGTTGCTTAGTGAATAGACGCATGGAAGATGGACAATGAAAAAGATCATATGCGTCATATTATGTTATACGAATTCCGCAAAGGAAAAACAGTAGGCGCTGCAACTAAAGATATTCGCGAAGTTTATTTGGACCGTGCTCCAGCACTCCGCACAGTAAAGAAATGGTTCGCGAAATTTCGTTCTGGAGATTTTAACCTCGAAGATCAACCTCGCAGTGGACGGCCTTCTGAGCTTGATGACGATGTTCTAAGGACTTTAGTTGCGAATAACTCACGTATTTCGACGGAAGAGGCTGCCAGGGAATTGAACGTCAACAAATCAACTGCGTTTCGCCATTTTAAAAAAGGTTGGGTACACTTTGAAGGTCGATACATGGGTGCCACATCAGTTGAGTGAAAAAAAAACAAAGTGGACCGTATGTCAACAGCAATTTCTTTGCTTCGACGGATCAAAAACGAACCTTTTTTGGATCGGCTCGTGACTGGTGATGAAAAATGGATCCTGTACAACAATGTTCAACGCAAAAGAACATGGAAACAGGCACACGAAGGGACGGAACCGATGTCGAAAGGTGGATTGCATCCGCTGAAGCTACTGCTGTGCATTTCGTGGGATATCCGAGGCGTGATCTATTTTGAGCTCTTGCCAGCTGGAGAAACGATCATTGCCAACAAGTATTGTCAGCGATTGGTCGAATTGAAGAAAGCAATTGATGAAAAACGTCCGATTTTGGCCAATCGCAAAGGAGTTCTTTTCCATCATGACAACGCCAGGCCACATGTTACAAACCCGACCCTGGCCAAACTGAAGGAGATGAATTGGGAAATCATGCCGCATACCCCATATTCACCCGACATTGCACCTTCTGATTATCATTTGTTTCGATCGTTGCAGAACAATTTGAATGGAAAAAAATTTAAAAATGTGGAAGACGTCAAAAACCACCTTGACACCTTTTTCAACGAGAAACCGCGCGATTTCTATGAATCAGGCATCCGTAAATTGGTTGAACGTTGGGAGTGGATTGCCGAACATGATGACGAATACATAATTGATTAATAAAAGCACTTTCTTCAAAAAATTTCAATTTTAGTTTGCACTTGAAATCGGGCACGAACTTATGCACTCATTAATATTTGAAACGAACGAGCATTGGAAATTTTCGTTGTTAATATGTACTATTTTCAACTGCAAGGATATTAAAAAATAATAGAATTATTTGAAAAAAAAAAAAATTAATTAATGCACATGAATGTTCTTAAATTCTTATCCACCACACAAAATATTTAAGATTCAATGTTACAACTGATGCGTAATGGATTTGTTGTAATGCCACCTTTGTTTTGATATCCTCAAACCACTACCACAACAACGGGGTGTCCTTTTTAATCCATTTGTTTGTAAAGTGGTTCTTGTGTTGAATTTGAGAAATGTCTGGCTTTAACGTTTCCGTCCCTTGCATGTGTCTGGAGCAGTAGACGCGTCGACCAATGCGGTCTGACAGCATCAATATCCTCAAACACTTTATGCACACAAATAGATTCGTTTTGCATCAGCAAAATTGTGCTTTTGATGAAATAAAGACAAACAAAAAAATCAAATACAGTTATGTATGTATGTATGTATGTATTTAAAAATATTTATAGCAAGTGTTTGAACACCACAAGACCTTGGGTATTAAAGCATCTTCATCAACATTGTCATTATCGAAAACATTCTTTTTTTTTCTCTTCCACTTTTAATCGATAAAAGAATGCTCAGCAATATTTTGCCAAATGTTTTACTTATGATGAATATTTTGCCGGCTTTTCTCATGCAGCCACCCTCTGCGTGGTTGTTGCTGCGGTCTGTTGGTTACACTTATGCAGCCAAATGCAAGTAGGCGGTGCTGTTGGCAGACCTTGTTTGTCAACGTAATGTAACTTTTGTCATTTTAACCAAGTGTGACGGCTTGACTGTAGACCATATACTTACATACACGTATATGCACGTATGTATATATACAGTGGTGGCCATACAATTAGAAACGGCATCGTGTGATCCACTGAATTTAAAGAATTTAAATTAAATTTTCAAAACTTTTGATGGGAATTTATATGGTTACATATATACTTTTATTTAACTCAAGAATTTGTTATATTTTTATTCCATTATTAAAACAAATGAAGTGATAAACAAAATGACATGATTTCATTGCTCACATAATTAGAAACGTACTCATATATACATTAGAAATTCAAAAAAAATCTTTCCTAACCGAAAAATAAGTGCATGAAATTAGTATTTGGTAGGGTATCCTTGGGTTTTGGTGACACTGCTTAATCTTTTGGGCAAACTCTCAACCAAAGTTCGACACGTTGCAGTGGGCATGTTCTCCCAAATTTCGTTGGCAAATTGAAATAATTCGTTATTATTTCGCGGTTTTTAGCCTTTCGTTCTCTTTTTACAATGCCCCACAAGTTCTCTATAGGGTTTAGTTCAGAACTTGGGGGGGAACAAGGACAAAACTTCCATTTGATTCATCTTATTCTTTCAAATTGGAATGGTTCCATTATACTTTCCAATATGGCTTTATATTGAAATTGATCGATTTTCCCCTAAATTCGAACCATAACTGAGCCCTACCATGCTAGTTTGTTTTCAAAGTATACCTAAGGTCCAACGATTTGTTTTGAGGACGTCTTACATATGTTTTGTCATCCGACTGTAAAAAATTGAATTTGGATTTCATCACTCCAAAGGATTCTTTTCCAAAATTGAATTAAAGGAGTTTCGCCTAAGAATATTGCGAAAGGCGAAGCCGGTGTTGGTTCGGCCCAGGGTTACGATCCAAAGCGCGGCAGAAAGCTGGCAACTTACAAAGAAGTTTCGCTCCAGAATAATTTGCAAGGCGAAGCCGGTGTTGGTTCGGCGCAGGGTTACAATCCAAAGCCCGGTAGAAAGGCGCCAACCTACAACGGAGTTGTTGCCATTTCCTGCGAATTTGATATTATTTTAGAAAACTTCTATTGCATGTTTTGCAGACAAAATTTATCTTCAGAAAGTATTGATATATGGACAACAACAAAAAAATTTCACTTACCTTTCCAGCGATATCACATTTTTAAAATTTGCTGTAGAAGGTTTTGAGATATAGCATTTATAATTTTCGAAAATGCTCCCTTCGCCCTCCAATATTTACAAAAATATAACTTTGCCAAAAAAAAAAAAAAAAAATTATATTAATTAAAACTATTTTATTCTGTTCTACCTTAACGGTCTGTATTCTGCACTTGCTCCATTTTTTTTAATATTTTCAAAAGCAAACTGCAATCCAAAAAAAAAATTTTTTTTTTTTAACTCATAATGAAGCACCACCGAGTACCTCAGTGCATAATAATATTCTTTAGAACTATAGGGCGTTGTGTTAATCATAATATTTAGTTTAAGTAAGGTTGTTTCTAATTATGTGGCCACCACTGTATATATGTATATTGAACCAACCTGACCAACGTACTTTGAAGAGCTTGATGTGTATTTACACATATACATAGATATGTACATATGCATTATTATTATTTCTTTTTTAATATTTTTTTCTTAAAAATTATATGCTAAGTTGCGCCACCATATCTGTTACCGTTACAAGCAGTATTTTTTTTTGTTTTTGTTTGTAATTTGAGTTCTTGCCACTTCTTTGTAATGTTTTGATGTCAATGTTGGTTATGTCCTTTTTGTTGTTATTTTCTGACAACGTGCCGTAATATCGTAGTCGGCTCCTCTGGCGATTTAGTTTACTTTTAAAAATTATTTATTTTATTTTATTTCACTTTTTTTACAATGAGCTTTAGCCAGCATTTTTTCCACGTAATCTTGGCTTGGTGTCATTGACTGTGCATTCGTTCACACTGCAACATTTTCTAAATGTTCGGACTCTGAGGCAAACATTTTCAATACTAAAATTAAACAAACAAGTCTAATCTAAAAAAATACTGCCTACAATTTGGCGCAAAGAGAAAAGAAATCACGCATTAGATGTTTATAATTATTTACAACGACTTCGTGAAAACTTATAGTTTTTAATTTTGTACTTATTGGTATTTTTGAATGCGCAAGAAATAGCTCCAAGAATTTAGAACTAATAATGGAATTACAATTTCTTTTTGCTATTATATTAGGTCAAGTAAAAAGTTCGTTCGGTTTTTTTTTTCTTATTGATTTTTCAAAATATGATAACTTTGTGTGCCGGTGTCCGATTTAAGTCAAATTTGCGCCGTTTTGTTCGTAAACTTGCTGCCAACGAGATGCCAAAATAATTAGACCCCTCTCGTAGAAGGCTGCGTTTCTATTGGCAAAAAATTCGGAGAGCCAATTTTCACAGGGCTCTTTTTCGGCAAACTTCTCGCCATTATGCGCGTTCACCATGGACAGGAAAAGATGGTAATCACTTCATTTCAGGTCCCTACTATTAGGTGGGTGCATTAGGACCTCCCATCCGAGCTTCTGGAGCTTCTGGCGCGTCACCAAAGACGTGTGTGGTCTGACGTTGTCCTGATGGAACACAATTCGGCCTCTGTTGATCAAAGAGGGCCTCTTCTGGATGAGTGCTGCCTTCAAGCAGTCCATTTGTTGGCAGTAGAGGGTTTGGCCATAGGGGAGCAGCTCGTAGTAGATGACTCCTTGCCAATCCAAACCCAAACATTGAGCTTTTTTTTGAATCAAAGGTTATACAAATGGTTCCAAACGGTTTTCTGGCTTACCTTTAGTTCCTCAGCAATTAAATAAGTGCTCACGCGATGGTCTGTATCCACTATTTCCATGATTTTATCGCAATTTTCGGCGACAGGCCGAAGCATCTTTAATTAAAAAAAAAAAAAAGATTCATTGTTTTTGTGAAATCGTAATTTTTCCATTCGTTATTTTTTTTTTAAATTAAAGCAACTTCTATTCGAAAAATTTACTAAAATTCCTTCTTTGCTTATTTTCAGTGTCGCATAACAATCAGTACAATCCTCCGGATCTACCACCGATGGTCTCGTCCAAAGAGCAAACGTTAATGTGGCAACAAAATTCATATCTCGGCGATTCTGGTATTCATTCCGGTGCGGTCACTCAAGTGCCATCGTTGTCGGGCAAAGAGGATGAAGAAATGGAGGGCGACCCACTTATGTTCGATTTGGATACTGGTTTTCCACAAAATTTCACCCAAGATCAAGTGGATGATATGAATCAGCAATTGAGTCAGACACGTTCACAGCGTGTACGCGCCGCAATGTTCCCCGAGACTTTGGAGGAAGGCATTGAGATACCATCGACTCAATTCGATCCACAACAACCCACAGCTGTGCAGCGTTTATCAGAACCATCACAAATGTTAAAACATGCTGTCGTAAATCTTATCAACTATCAAGATGATGCTGAGTTGGCCACACGTGCCATACCGGAATTGATTAAGTTGTTGAATGATGAAGATCAAGTGGTGGTTTCGCAAGCCGCCATGATGGTACATCAGTTGTCGAAGAAGGAGGCTTCTCGCCATGCCATCATGAATAGTCCACAAATGGTGGCTGCACTTGTACGCGCCATTTCGAATAGCAACGATTTGGAGAGTACCAAGGCCGCTGTGGGCACTCTACATAATTTATCACACCATCGCCAAGGCTTGTTGGCCATCTTCAAAAGTGGCGGTATTCCAGCTTTGGTCAAATTACTCTCCTCACCCGTTGAGAGTGTGCTCTTCTACGCTATTACCACATTGCATAATTTGTTATTACATCAAGATGGTTCGAAAATGGCCGTGCGTTTGGCTGGTGGCCTACAGAAGATGGTCACCCTGTTGCAGCGCAATAATGTCAAATTTCTAGCTATCGTCACTGACTGCTTACAGATTTTAGCCTATGGCAATCAAGAGAGTAAATTAATCATATTGGCTTCGGGCGGACCGAATGAATTGGTACGAATAATGCGTTCGTACGATTATGAGAAGTTACTCTGGACTACTTCACGTGTGTTGAAGGTGCTTTCGGTATGCTCTAGCAATAAGCCAGCTATTGTTGATGCTGGTGGCATGCAGGCTTTGGCTATGCATTTGGCAAATCCATCGCCACGTTTGGTACAGAACTGTTTGTGGACATTGCGTAATCTTTCAGACGCTGCCACCAAGGTTGATGGTCTCGAACCACTCTTGCAATCCTTGGTACAGGTATTGGCCTCAACTGATGTTAATGTTGTAACCTGTGCCGCTGGCATACTTTCGAATTTAACTTGCAATAATCAACGCAACAAAGCTATTGTTTGTCAAGTTGGTGGCGTCGATGCGCTCGTACGTACCATTATAAATGCCGGTGATCGCGAAGAGATCACCGAACCAGCTGTTTGCGCTTTGCGTCATTTAACTTCGCGTCACGTTGACTCTGAGTCGGCACAGAATGCTGTGCGTCTTAATTACGGCTTGTCGGTGATTGTGAAACTTTTGCACCCTCCATCACGTTGGCCGTTAATCAAGGCCGTTATTGGTTTGATACGCAATTTGGCCTTATGCTCGGCCAATCATGCACCATTACGCGAACATGGTGCTATACATAATTTGGTGCGTTTGCTTATGCGCGCATTCCAAGACACCGAACGTGTAAGTGACAATTCAGATTAGATTTCACTCAAACCTTTTGATTAATTTAATTAACTAACTTATTTTTTACTTCATCCACAGCAACGTTCGTCTGTGGCCACTACGGGCTCTCAACAACCATCCGCCTACGCTGACGGCGTACGCATGGAGGAAATTGTCGAAGGTACTGTTGGGGCTCTACACATATTAGCACGCGAATCGCATAATCGCGCTTTGATACGCCAACAATCAGTTATACCGATATTTGTGCGTCTACTCTTCAACGAGATTGAAAACATACAGGTTAGTGTGGCAGCAACTACTGCTAAATTAGTATAATAAGAAAAATTGATTTGGAATGCTGCCGTTACAGCGCGTTGCCGCCGGCGTACTTTGCGAGCTGGCTGCCGATAAAGAAGGCGCCGAAATGATCGAACAAGAAGGCGCCACTGGACCGCTTACTGATCTATTGCATTCGCGCAATGAGGGTGTTGCCACCTATGCTGCAGCTGTATTATTCCGCATGAGCGAGGACAAACCGCAAGATTACAAAAAGCGTCTTTCTATTGAATTAACCAATTCATTGTTGCGAGAAGACAACAATATGTGGGGAAATGCCGATTTAGGCATGGGTCCGGATCTACAGGTGAGTCGTCAGTGTGCACGTAACGTATGCTAGTACCCTTTGTGAGTTTAGCGTGTATACAAATATTGTACTGTAAAATAGGTGCTTATCTCTATGTAAACTTATCGAAAACCCAAAAACAAACAACGAATTGGTCTGCTCAGAAATCTTTGTATGCGTATTTGAACGATTGGAACTGTTTACTCTTATGCATAAACTACAAACAAACACATTAAACCGAAATACAAAACTTTTATTTCAATAAATATTTATTTTAACATATTTTCCCGTTTTTAGTTGAGTAGAAAAGCGTTATTATTGTAAATATAAATGAAGAAAGCTTAGAGAATATAATTTTTATTTAAATAAAAATATAAAGAAAACATCTTAGCGAAGTAAAATAGCAATTAAAATGATGATAAATAAAAAAAAAAAATATTTAAAAGTCAATCCAGTAAGTAACTAAAATAGAATTCGGTTGCATACCATAGCACAAATATTTCCCATAAAGAATGACTTATTACATAGATTTTTATATGCTTACTAACCTTGAACAATTACAATAAAAGAGAGTATATATACATTACTAGTCATTTATGTAACTTGGGATAGCAAACACTATCACAACAGCTTTTTCTTTAAAGCACCATAATATTGTTTTGAACTTGCTAAGAAATCAAATTTCAAAATCCGAAAATATACGCATAGTGTAGCTATATATTTGTTGGCTTTCCTCTATTATTTACCATATTAAATTTTTTGTTGTTTTTTCTTTATACTCTTTTAAATTCATTAACTAAAAATTGTGTTTCATTTTTATTTTGTTCTTTTTTTTACATTTATGTACTTCGTTTGTAACACAATCACAAAAAAAAAAACAACCGTTCACCTACTACTACTATCACAACACCGTTGAATTTAAATATTGCCAAAAACACCGAAATTCGTGCTAAATCATCACGAAACCACAACCAACGCCAATTGCTACAAAATAATTTGAACAAAAACAAAAAAAAAAAAAACGAAAAAAAACATCACCACTGAAACCTTGTCCAACATCACCTACCTCTACCACCTGTCCAAATTGCACATCCTTGGAATTCATTTGTATCCTAACAACTTTTTGCAATTTTCGCAATGTTACTACTCGCAGGATATGCTTGGACCCGAACAAGCATATGAAGGTTTATATGGGCAAGGCCCGCCGAGTGTACACAGCTCACATGGAGGTCGAGCATTCCAACAAGGTATGTATGAAGAGTTTCCAGTCCCTAACGCCTGTTTAATATAATAAAAACAAAAATAAAAATAATAAAAAACAGAAATTAAACAGAAAATAATTCAAGTTGAAACAGTTTCATGAATATCTAAAATCGTTACGATAGCATGATGCGTTCGTTCGTGAAGCTAATAATAATTAAATACGATGAATGATAAAATGCCAAATTGAAAAAAAAAAACCAAAACAAAAATTCAATTCATTATTAACAGTGTGACTAAATTTCGCCGAAACAAAAGCTGCAATCAAATGCAAAATTACTAAGATTATTTTTACATTTTCTTCAACTCACACATTACATTTTGAACCCACCACTGAACCCACCTCTGCCAGATTTTTTATATGAACGTCTAATGCCCTGTTAATCATCGTCCCTTGTTCTAGTAAATGTTATAAGTAATATTGTCAATTAAAAATGTATACATTTGTTTAACGGTTATTTTATGCAAACAAAGTTAACAAAAAAATAACAAAAATATTGCTTTACACCAAACCACCAGCCAAAAACGGGCAGAGCACACTAATAGTATATTATGCAGCACAAAACAAAACCTAAATATGCTTTAATCCACTCACATTTCATTAATCCTTGCTGAATGAAGTGAAATATTTTAAAGAAAAAATTGGCAAAAATGCAGAAAGCTTTGTAGTAAACGTAATTTTTCCGAATACTTTATAAATAAACAAATGCAGTGTTTATTTAAGCATTTGGTTGCCTACTGTATTTGATTAAGCCTAATTGTAGGCAACGTTTTTTTGGTATGTTGCATTTAGAAAGCAAATCACAATCAAATAAAGTTAAAAAATATCCAATAGAATTGTTAAACACTATTCGTTTATTTATTTATTTTCTTAATTTTGAAGAATATTAGAAAATATTACGAATATTTCACTTCAATCAACTATATAAACGCATAAATCCCATAAATTTGTTGTTAAAAGTCAATTATAAATGAGAAAAGTAAGCTTGATTCCTCAATTATGCAACCTTTACCAATTCACTGATTCCATTGTTGGCTCTTGAATTTTATAATCCTATATCCAAGCGTAACGCAACGAATTCTGTTATGCGTTACCTCCTTTGTTTCGACGCTTTTGTTTATTTACCACATTTTTTAAGTTTTTTATACTCGCAATAGAAAATACATTGCAATTAGTGCATTTCCATATAGAACATAGTAAGGATCATTCATTAGCCACTTGCTCATACCACATGCTTAACCATGCCATTTTTACGTAGAAGCTCACAAAGCTAGTTTGTAGTATGATATGATAACCAAGCAACCATTATCCAACCATTCACCAGCTCACTCAACCAATTCCGAGTATTCATGCATTGCAAGTAAAGCAATCGTTAGATGCAATAAAAAAAAAAAAACAAAAAAAATCGCAAGAAAATTAATATTTGTAGTCGTAAAATGTGAAAATAACAATCGTAAAGAAGAATTAACCAAACGTTATCTCTCTCTCTCTCTCTATTTCTCTCTTCCACTCTCGTTCGCTTACTCCAAACGCTTTTTCTCGACGGATCGCTTGCGCTTGCTTGATAATATTATAAACTAAAAATTGAATTTAAACTTTAAATAAATAAATTTGCTCACATCGAAACAGTTAAGCCAGCCTAACATATATCATCACTAAAAGTTAATACGATCTCTGAACGATAAACGAATTTATTAAGTCTTAAAAAATACACACATAAAAAAAAAACAGAAAGAAAGTAATAAATAAAGATTTAAAGCGAAAAATTTTAGTCAAGAAATCCACACAAAAGAATATGCTAAGTATAATTTATGAAATCGTATACATGTATACATTAAAATTATTACTCAAAGTATTCATAGACATTAAGACTTACATACATACATACATGTTTTGCATTACGAGCAAACGTCATACATATTGAAGTAAAGAAAAAAGAAAATCAAAATAAAATCTGAAAATATGAAAACATCAATCGAAGCGTTCCCAAATCTAAGCAGAAAAAAAAAACATTAGAGAAAAGCAATAACCACCAGCCAGTTCTACAAACAGCCAGCCAGCTTAGGAGATATGGCACACGCTTTGCGTCGCGTGCAAACAATGACAATTTCTCTTAATAGGTGACTAAAAAAAAAAAAAATACAAAAACCAAACCAATTTGTTGTGAATTTATTACAGTAAACTATTAGCTTATAATTTTGCTTTAATTTTATAATTTAAATTTTTTTTATAGATTTCGTTTTTAAGTATGTAATTGAACTACTAGTGTGTAGCAAAAACTAAAAAAAAGTGCGTAGCTTTTACAAATATTTTCTTTTTTTTTATTAATTCTTTTCGTTTCGGTTTGGAAGAACTGCAAAATGTCTTAGTTCATAGTTTTAGTATTGACCATTTTAATTTTGGTAATTTGAATTTTGCACATTGTTAATTGTTTTTTAAACAAAAATACACATTTTTACATGTATGCGTACGTTCTTATGTACACCCTCAGCGCTGAATTTAGAGTAATTTATTGTGCATTGACGAGTTAACGCATGGCTTTCTGTTGCTTTCTTTTGCTTAATGCATTTTTCATTTTTTAATTCCGAAAATACTTAAGCAGCATATCAGTTTTTTTAATAGGGGAAAAGCTCAATTTGATGGTTAAATATTTAGAGGGGGAAAAAAACAAATATTTTTATTTATAAAAAAACAAACAAATATTTTTATTTATAAAAAAACAAACTAAATAATAACTACAATACAACAAAGGGCACAGAATATTTTTCACTTACTTTGGTTCTTCTAACTAACCAATCAATGATGTTAATGTATTAAAGAGATTTTTTTTTATTTAAGATTGATTAAAACTAATAATTTGTTAAGTGAGTTTTCATAAAAAATGTTTGAAAATTTCAATTCAGCATCTTTGGCAGTTTCTATTATAAATTCTGTTAAAAATTTAAATTATCGAAAATTTCTTTTTATTTTCTTTTTTTTTTGTGTTTTTTTTGTCTTGTTTCTTTTCCTTTTTTTCATTCTTCATTTCTACAATTCTCCAAAAAGTTAATAAAAAATTGCATGCAATTTTGTGTTTTTTTTTTTAAAGCAAGCAATATTTTTCCGCGAATGAAACATATTCATGGTTTCTTCTTTTTTTTTTGCATGTATAACGTTACACACATGTACATATGAAAAGAAATGAAACTTAAAATTTGAAAATTCATACTTCTTCTCTACTTTCTAATACATATTGTAATTACAAAGCTCACTCCCATACAATCTTTTTCACAGGATATGATACTCTACCAATAGATTCAATGCAAGGCTTGGAGATTAGCAGCCCAGTTGGTGGTGGTGGTGGCGGTGCTAACAGCGTACCACCAAGCGGTGCACCAACGTCACCATATTCAATGGATATGGATGTAGGTGAGATCGACGCTGGAGCTTTGAACTTTGATTTGGATGCAATGCCGACACCGCCAAATGACAACAACAACTTGGCCGCTTGGTATGACACCGACTGTTAGACGATGAGCGTGTGGTGGGTGTAGGTGAAAAGTGACAGAAAAAAACAAATTAAAATATTAATAATAATGAAAACAATGATAAACAAATCATTACGCGATCGAGCAAAAAACAAAAAAAAAAAAAGTCTTAAAATTGATCGCAATTGATTTCTTTGAAAGCAACATGAAAAAATCAAAATATTTTGTGTTCTTATTTGATTATGATTGAGTTTGTAATTTTTATTATTTACTAAATCTAGTATTAAGTATCTGCTTCCATTCGCGGAATATGCTTATATTATTCCTTTTACAAACATACATACATACATGCATACACTATTTAAATTTTTTAAATACATATTACATTTTTATTAAAACACACATTTTTTGGTATCTTAAACAAAAACAGTATTTTCATTTGAAACCAACAACAAACTGTTTATTAAATCTCGATCAAAAGTAAGAAGAAAATTTATACACAAGCGCATTTATAAAACTACAGCTATTTAATGGAAAATTCATATGCATCGAAGCATTAAATCTGAAAACGAAATAAAAAAACAATTACATAAAAATTAAATGAGAGATTACTCAAATTACAAATTAAAAAAAAAAATATATATACAAAATTTAAAAGAAGCAAACAGTATAAATTTGCATACCGACATAAAGGTTAAATAAATATTCATAGTCTCATTTTACCACACACACAAGTGAGGAGCGGGAGACGTATTGTTAAGCATTTTTTTTAAAGGAAACGAAGTTAAATTAATAGAAATGGCTATTTCTGTAGCTCACAAGTTCTTTTGAGAATAAACAGAAAACAAATCATAAAACTGGCTTACAAATTACAATACACATCTGCAGAGATAATACATAACGTGGCATTACTTTCACGCAAACAAACACATCATTATTATGTATGTATAATAAGTGCATGAATAAACGCGATTTGAATAAATGTGTGAAAGTTTTCACATTTTACGGAATTATGCGCTGAAATTGTTTAATTAAGGCAAGAAGTAGTGAATGAGGTGAGTATATATACATATATTATTGCACTTCTGGACGTATACGTATCTTCGATGTTCATAAACGCCAAAACATTATTGGACGGCCTTAGCTTGAGATTGATTAGGACAAATCCTTAACCTTTTTTCAGTACAACTATATAGCTTTATTAATTTTTATTGAGTAAACTACGAGGTCTTGTTGTTTATATGAATTGAATATTTGTTATACAACAAAGAAAAAATGGTAGAAGTGATAGCTGTTTCGGAGATCACCACATCTCCTCACCAACGGATCCTGACTTAACAGGCGAGTGTTCTTTTTCACCCTCTGCGTTGTTGGTGCTGCGAGCAGTTCTCTTCTACGTTAGGAATTTCAACTTTCCAGAGCATAATACATTATTTTTTACTATTTTGAAATTTCCTAAACATTAGGTACGGATGAGGTATGCTTTAGAAACGAGTCCACAATAGTCCATTATAAACTGCAAACGGTATTTAAAATAGCGGAAGAAACTGAGCTTACAACTTTCAATGTGTGAACTTTGGAAAACTTAAACGAAAACAATTTCCTGGCTGCACCCTGCGTTTAAGTGTTGCCACATGGTCGAAATGAAAGTCATAAAAATGCAGTAATAGTTGTTTGTCGGGTTGTAATAGATCAGAAATAATTTCGATTTAATTATTTTTTAGTGTTGTATAAGCATTGTATTTGCAAAACACTATCACACAGTAAAGACACATATTATAAACAGATTTTATATTAAAAGCTTTATAAAATATTATTATAATGAGCACTCTTCATAAATAATTGAAAACAATTCAACGGCAACGTTTGTTGGTTGTCACACAAGCAAGTGTTGTTCGCTCATAATGAAATGGCCCCACGGATTTTGACGTTAGTCATCGCCGCAAAAAAGAAGTAAAGAAATTCCTATTGTCCACGAATTTGCGGCTGATAATATTAAATTATATTTTTTTCTGCAATTAATTGTGAAGTAGAAAGTGCAAAAGTGTACAAAAAAATAACACTTATTGGGTTGAATCCGCCAGAGAGTTGTAGTTAAAAACAGTCTGTAATCGTTGGTGGACCAAGTGAACATTACCAACAGAGGAAATGGATAGCAAGGGACGCAATGTTATCGTATGCGATAATGGAACCGGTGTATGTATTATGGTTAATAGGGGTGACCACACCTACACAGTATACAATAAAAATGCGACGTGTGCCTGAAAATTAAAAGTTTCAAATCTTGACTGAAACCAAAACAAAGTGAGATTGCATTTGGTCATTGATTCATTCATTTGGGCGTGTGAGTGTATGTACATATGTGCGCCCTTCACATCGTGGTGGAGTAAATAAAACAGAATAAATTCTAAATGGTATCACAATAATCGGTTGAAAGGATCATCTTGAAATCGAATAAAAAAAAACAATATTTTACTTTATATGAATAAATGTAAAGTGTGATTGTAATTTGTTTTAATACAATACAGCAAAAATTTATGCTGCATTAGTCACGCCAAGTCGTTCTGGAAATGGAGTTTACCAATAATGTTTTCTTTATCTACTTTTCATTATCTAACTCTTTCGTTTTGCACAACAATCCATGAATAGTTCGATTAAATACCAATGGCATACCAATGTTTTCTTTTATGAATAAAGTCGATTACACAAAATTGAAGCTTTAATTCCAAATATTTATGTATGCAAACTTGCTTGGTACATTAGTGCATATATAAGTGTTTTGAAAATCTCATTATGATTCAATGAACTAATGCGTCTGTTTAACCTACTCACATACATATTAAGTATATTATTACATTATACGACTTTTTGGAAGTAAATAAATTTAAGAAATAAAATATTTATTTTCACTCTCTTCAGTTTGTCAAATGCGGTTATGCTGGCAGCAATTTCCCAGCGCATATATTCCCATCCATGGTTGGCAGACCGATCATACGTGCAGTCAATAAAATCGGTGACATAGAAGTTAAGGTGAGCTTGGTATTGTTAAAAACACTTTCTTTAAATGAATATTAGAAACAATTTTTTGAAATAATCTTTAAATAAACACTAAAAAATTTTTGATAAAATATTTTTGGTATTATATTGCAATATATGTTAGTTACACAAAAATATTGTATAATGCTACATTTCATTTTTATTATTACGTACAGTAAAATCTTTATGTAACTAAAATTTAAGTTATTAATACACACATACATACATATATTAAAACCTATTCTTACGTATTTTTCTGTTCTTTTCATTAACTTTTTTATGAATATTTTTACAGGATTTACATGTCGATGTAAGTCTAAACTAGTTTTAGTGACACCTTAAAATTTAAACTTTGTTCAACAATTAGAATTCTTAGTGTAAATTAGAAATGCCTTTAGAAAAAAATGTGATACTTGACTAAACAAAAAAACATGCATATCCGAAGCAAGAGCTAACGCTTTGCAAACCGCTGCATATACATATTGTACAAAATGTTTGCTTAACATATTACTAAGCGCTGTAGGCTGAAGCTACTACGCCTTATGCGTGTGCCTCGAAACTAACTAGATTACCTTGCATTTGAATTCACTCTCACCAGCGCAGCGCATCTCTTCTTTTTGAATGTTTGACAGTTATTTAGTGATTTTATACCAGTTTGTTAATTTTATTGTTTTATATGTTTCTCCATTTTGTGCTCCATGCTTTCGTGTATAATTTAAAAATCTTTGAAAATTATTTGGAGTTCAAAGCAGAGAAGAAGCTTAATCTTTAACTCTTCGTACTAACTATTTTTGCCTCTACTAACAATTTTTAGCATGTTATTGTGTTAATTCAAATGCTGTTGTGGGATTGAACGAAATAAATCTGGAAGTTAAAATAAAGTGGTTTTAGTATTTTTTTTTTTTTTTTGTTGAAAACATGAAATTTAGTGAGTGAGATAAACTCTTATAATTAATTTGATATTGAGTCAAAATTTAGATACGAAATTTTTTATTCTTGGAGAAATATGAGAGCATTTGTAATTTATGGTGATGCTTAAACTCAAACCATCTCAACCATCAATTCAGGAAATTTTCATTTGGAAACCTTTGAGCTTGTACTATCTTAGCAAAAACTAGGGAAAATCAAAATTTCGAATGTTAGAACTCTGTTTGAAAATTAAATGAAGTTCTTTGGTCAATTCAAAAAAAAAAAAAAATAATAATTAAAAGCTATCTTCATTACAACCAAACTCTTCAGCCCTTGATTATACGACAGTTAGTACATAATCTATTCTTTAATAAATCACAATGCACATATGTACATATCTATTTGTAGTTGTAAAAATTGCTAAAATCGCGCTTTATGCTGTCTATATGCATATATAGTTCAGCTGAGAATTAGTTACGTTGTTTCTATTGTACAGTGTTTAAGCCTAATTCCCCACAAAAAAAAAAAAATAATTTGTTATGCGTTTAATTGAATTGTAATTTTTGTATGGCATGCTATGTTTACTAAATGCTTCTCGTTATTATTGGTGTCGAACACGATCAACATTTTTCCAGGATCTAATGGTGGGTGATGAAGCCTCACAGTTACGTTCGCTTTTAGAGGTATCCTATCCAATGGAGAACGGTGTAGTGCGCAATTGGGAAGATATGTGTCATGTGTGGGATTACACATTCGGTCCGAAAAAAATGAATATTGATCCAAAGAATACAAAAATCCTCTTAACCGAACCGCCTATGAATCCGTTGAAAAATCGAGAGAAAATGATTGAGGTAAGTTAAATATTAGATATTTTGTATACTGTTATTTTTTAATTTTAAAATCAAAATTTTTTTTTTACTTTCTCCAATAGGTGATGTTCGAAAAGTATGGCTTCGATTCGGCGTATATTGCAATACAAGCGGTGTTAACGCTCTATGCGCAAGGTTTAATTTCGGGTGTTGTCATCGATTCGGGTGATGGTGTGACTCATATATGCCCCGTGTATGAGGAATTTGCATTGCCGCATTTAACAAGACGTTTGGATATTGCAGGTCGTGACATCACACGATATCTGATCAAGGTTGGCTATACTCTTTTTGCAACAAACAGTTCAGTTTGCTGAGTAAAACAACTTGTTTTTATTTTTTATGTAAAATTGTGGAATATTTCCTGTATAGTTTAGTGCTCATATTTATAGTTTAGCTAACTATTTGCAAACACAATTATTATAACTTATCTTTCTCTTATAGTTACTGTTACTGCGCGGCTACGCGTTTAATCATTCCGCTGACTTTGAGACTGTGCGCATGATGAAGGAGAAACTCTGCTATATTGGTTATGACATTGAAATGGAGCAGCGTTTGGCGTTGGAGACAACTGTGCTCGTTGAAACATATACGGTTTGTGGCGCACAATAATCACACACATATCACGTAATTAATTATACTCATTTGCTTGTTAACAGTTGCCCGATGGACGTGTGATAAAGGTGGGCGGTGAACGTTTCGAAGCGCCTGAGGCGCTATTCCAACCGCATTTAATAAATGTTGAAGGTCAAGGTATTGCTGAATTGGTGTTTAACACAATACAAGCGGCCGATATTGATATGCGTCCAGAATTGTATAAGCATATCGTGCTATCTGGCGGCTCCACCATGTATCCAGGTCTTCCTAGTCGATTGGAACGCGAAATCAAGCAATTGTATTTGGAGCGTGTGCTTAAGAATGATATAGACAAATTAGCGAAATTCAAAATACGTATTGAGGATCCGCCACGACGAAAAGATATGGTATTCATTGGTGGCGCTGTCTTGGCTGAGGTGACCAAGGATCGCGATGGTTTTTGGATGTCTAAACAAGAGTATCAAGAACAAGGACTTAAAGTATTACAAAAACTTACCAAGAGCACACAGTAGTAGTAGCAAAATGGGCCAAAAATAACACAACAACAAAAATAACAACATACATTGCGGTTAACATTCTAGTTATACCTACAGCTACGTTTTGTATTATGTTTATTATATAACTTGTAATACTACCAATATGTGTGTATATTTAAGTTAAAAAATGACAAGACAGTACTGTTATCTATATAAATAATTTACAAACAGTCTACTATTAACTTTTGCTATTTATAAAAAAAAAAAAAACAAAAACAAAAAAACTAGTTCTCTCTGCTAACTTACGAATTTCTTCTACTAAATTTTTTCGATTCCGTTTGAAAAGAAAATAGTAAACATTCGTGTTCTTTATGACTTGCTCATCACTATTTACCGTAAGTTACAAATAGTTACATACGTACGTACATACATATACGCTTTGTCTAGTAAAGAAAATATAAGAAATAATATGCATTTAATTTTTTTGTGCGTAAACTATGAAAGAATGAGTAATATTTAAATGTTTTGTACACTGTAAAAATTTTACTCCATCTACCCCCATTGTATGCCAATTCTATTTAGCAAAAACAAAAAAAGAAAAACGTATACTGTTGCTGAAAATTTAAAGATAAAATATGAAATATTTTTATTAACCACAAATTCATAGAACTCTTTGTTTCAATTGGTGCAGATTAAAAAATGCTTAGAGAAATTGTCAAGTACACTGTAAATAATTTGCTTTTAATGAATATTTTGATTTTATATTTCAAAAATTACTAAATAGATAGAAAGTATTAAAAAACATTAAGGTATTGTAGTAAACGAATATTATTTAAATCTTAATTAACCGTTATTAAACAAATACAAAAATTTTTAAACACTCAAATCCAATACTAAGAGCTTTTAATTAAACGACTGTTATTTCATTCCAAATCTGTTCATATTTTTATGAAAATTTTTCCAAAACTTTAACACTGATCACTTCTCTAAAATAATACGCTACTTATTTGTTAAGTACATTTGCAAAATATTTTATTTAAAGGCAGTAAGTGAAATGCAGTTGCTTTTGTTCGATTTTGAATAGTGAAAAACCAATAATAAAAACTTAATAAAACAACATTTAAATAAAGTTTTATACAATAAGATTCACCAAGAAATGCAAACATTTATGTAGATACACTTTTATTGTCGAGCCTAAGTTTTAACGATAGTTTTTAGTGGGTCTGTATCCTTTTGAGAGATTGTAACCTCACAATCACCTTTGAGCATATCGTATAGCTTATTCTCGAATTTACGCAGAAAGCCACGCTCCGAGTTACTATGGTTACACAAAATCACTGAGATATTTGAATGGCTGGCATCCAATAGGTCGTGATGAGACATTTCCCCTGTAATGTATAGGTCTGCCTCGAATCCTTTTAGCACAGATCCGCCAGAGCCGGCACAAACAGCCACCACGGTGATTGGTGTCTCTAAAGTGTGATTGATACCTAAAGACAAATGCACGTCGAGTCCAATGTGTCGCTGTACGCTAGCTACGGCTTGACCCAAAGTCAGCGATGTGGTAAATGTGCGACCCGCACCGCCAAACTCACCACCCAATGGGTTGGGCTGTAAAGAATCACGAGAATTGTATATTTTATATATTTCTGTTTTTACAAACTTTATACATACATATGCATAATTTTAACATTAATATGATAAGTGTCATTACACATAAGCTGTAGTAAAATAAATATTGAACACATATCGTTTTCACATAATCCAGCATTTTATTTAAATTTAAGTAGAAAGGTAAAATACATATACTTTATTCAATACACATCTGTAGACATTTAGTAACCGCCACGTCCTGGTGGTGGTGCGCGCATCATACCGGGTGGTGGTCCACGCATCGGTGGGCCTCCACGTCCCATACCACCGGGCATCGGTGGCATAACACCGGGTACCATACCTGGTAAAGGTGCACCAATCATGGGATTTCGCGGCACGCCTCTACCCATTGGTGTCATATGTTGTTGCGCTGGTCCACCAACACCTCTCACTGGACCCTGTAAGCCTGCTGGTGCTGAAGCAATATTTACTGGCATACCACGTCCAGCTGCACGTCCCAAACCAGGACCGGCAACAGCGCCAGGCATAGGTACACGGGGTAGTCCCTCCTCTGGTGGTGGTGGTCCCTCGACGGTCATCGAGACAATGTTATCTCCACGTAACAGTACAAAACCCAAAACTCGTTTCTCCTCACGTTCCGGTACTTTAGAGTTTTTCGAACGAATTTTACGAAATTCTTCACAATCTCCAAGTATTAAATTCATGTGTTTGTCGAATGCTTTGAAAGTGCCGATGAATGTGCGCGAATCTTGTAGCATGATCCGCACCCTATAGTTAAGGTGCTGGATCATTTTGTTATTCTTTCCAATCGTCTGCAAATAAATTAAAATTTTTTAACACAAATGGTCTATAATGCTGATAAATTCAAAGCTTACCATGATTGCTATATTTTTTAAAAAACAGCAGCAAAATATAAACGATTATAAGATGAATTTTTCGCGTTTTATGGAAAAACTGTCAAACACACCGCTTCAAGAAAATTATTAGTGTTGCCACATGAAAATAAAACATGGTGTCAACGGCAGAGTTGCATTCAAAAACGTGTTGCCAGAAATTTGGTTTCGAAGTTTGTCGTTAAGGGTGTCCTTTAAATAACAATAGTTCATCGGAAAACCTAACATATATTTATTATTAATGGTACGATTTCGTTTTAAATTAGTATTGAAGATTCCTCAAATCTTTCGGGTTAGAGCCTGCACAGCTTCTTTATAGCAACGCGCAACACTTCGTTGTAAGTTATTTGGTTAACGTTTATTTATTACGCCGAAACTTTTCTACCGGCGTCCGCAATAGACGAGTGCAGAGCGTATTTCCATTTTGAAGGCATGGTTTCAAGTCCTGGTTCTTTCAACACCCAAATTATAGAAAATCAAATATTTCTGTTTGCGATCGCCCATGGACAGGGAATGCAACCATTCCGAATGTATTTCTGACATGAAACAAAGGCTCCCCAAAAAGACCTTTAGCGGCTCGGAAGTGGGTTAGTATAAATTGTAGGTCCCTTCATTTGTTGGAAAAACATTAAGACGCATACCACAAATCGCTTCTGCGGTCTCAAAACTTCAATTATACACTTATAACACTTTTCTTAACCTTCTGTACAACTTTCACATCCTATTAATTTCACTTTATCAGCAAGGAGTTCGCTTTAAAACCGACTTCCGCGGTGCTTTTCGCCGCTCTTATATAACACCAATTTGCATAAAGCATGGAAAATTCGTAAGAATTTTCTCTATAACGAACATTTGATTCATGCGCTCTGAACATGATGTCGGTATCGGTATCACTCTATCATATGCCATTCGTATTTGGCATTTTTGTCACAATAATGATCAAATTATACACACCACATAAAAATTACAGATCGATTTGATGCCTTAAGCTTACCGTTAACTTTATCTTCATTTCAATTCAAGTTAACGCATTTCTACCCAGAGAAACTTTTATTATCTTAATCACTCTTGGAGTACTTTGTAGTACCGCTAGGTAGCCGGATATTGAGCAGTGCGAGCAATTCTCAAACAGACTAAAATATATACCAACTGATTCCAATAATGATTTTTGGAGAATTTTTGTCGCTGGCAATAATAATAGTTATTGTTTGAGCGTTAAAGCAAAGTTTAAAAAACAATTGTTAGCGAATGCACAAAATCATGTAAAGCATGAAATAATCGTTAATTTGTTATTTTTAATTTATTACGTCTAATGATCATGTTCCCTGATTTTGAGTCGACGTGAACCTTGAGTATACAAGGCTTTCCAATACAGGTGTTATTTTGATTATCAAAAAATATATTCTTTGAGTTAAATGATCAACGTGAAGCGGAGGATATGCCATTAATAATGGAAAGCAATATCAGCCAAATGTTTGCCACAGCAGCGCTTACAAGACCGTATTCTCTTTACGAAATTTTCCATCATCAAATCGCAAAGTGGCTGCTGTATACTCTCAATAGCTTCCCGAATTCTATCTTTGCGGTCTAGAATCGACGTCATGTTGGCGTAGACCTTATCTTTCACGAGGATCCAAAGGAAGACGTCGCAAGGTGTTAAATCAAAAGATCTCGATGGCCAATTGTGATCATCTCTTCGAGAGATAACACGGCGCGGAAACTTTTCCCTTAAAAGATCTATGGTTTCGTTGCTTGTGTGACACGTAGCGTTATATAGATAAAAACTATCTTATTCCGGCCATAAAAGATCTTTAATTATCTCTTGATATTGCCATCAATACACCGAAAAAGTAAGGTCCAATGACAACGCCGGACCATAAACCGCACCAAACTGTTACACGTTGAGGACGGAGAGGCCTTACATCAGAAAATCATGGTTTTTTTCGAGCCCCACATGCGACAGTTTTGATGTAGTCATCGAGTTGGAAATGAGTCTCATCAGTCAAGATGATTTTTCAAGTATTTTAAGGACTTAATCAGCAAGAATACGATGTTGCTGATGATCGGCCTGCTTTAGTTCTAGTGTTAACTGAATTTAATTAGCCTTAAAATCGAAGTCTTCATGTAAAGAACGACGAGGAAAGGACAAACCTGGGTGTTTACGCGAGGAGCGTAAATCCTTGCATAACTTTGGGCGCAGGCTAATTGCTTCCTGTTATTTGGGTTTTTGCTTTCTAGCATATATGTATGAATGATTTTGGATTCATGCATGTATGCAAGAATGCAATTATCAAATGATCCGCGAAGTGATACGGCTAAAGTGTTCATTGTTTGCAATGCAATTTACCTTCTAATGGTCCAGGTCAGATATCTTACTATCTGATCTGTTTGCGTCTTCCCATCCATGCTCCTTGAGTAAGCGATTGACGTCTGCGCAGCGTCAGGTGCCTCCTATGGCATTGGGTAAAGTCCACAACTTTTTGTAACGAGCCTAGTACTCAACTTGAACACACTTCTCATTCCCCCCACCCGCTTAGACACTGGGTTTTCCTCAACACTTTCGGGTACAGCACGTGTTTTATTCTTCACATCACTGACTTGTCCCAACAACTTCATTTTTTCCACCAATTTCTGTATTGCGATCCGACAACCGAAAACTATTTTAGTCCTAGGAACCGTATCTGCAGGTTTCCATCATCTTTTTAGTGAATTTGAATCATTTCAATGCGTTGTTGAAGCATGTGTCGTTCCATTCTTATTACTGGCGTAGTTTTTAGCTTGTAAATTGTAAAAAAGGAAGATATAGCGGTATATCAGGCTATTCAAAATGACACCTCTTATTGGAAAGCCCTTTATTTCGTCCGCACCCTAATGCGCCTTTGGCAGTGCATAATTAGAAAAGGATGAAATTTCAAATCAAGCAATCAAGCCATCAGCAAGCGCGCACGGGGTGAATTCTTTAAAAATTAAATAAAATCAATATTAATGTTCACCTTTTATAGATATGTATATTAAGTTAATAAAACATTAATTTATTTTGTGTGTAGTTTTAAATGAAATATTTATATAAATAAACATTATATTAAAAAAATGTATATGTATATGGGTGGGTTTTTGCTAAACGATTTTCCAAGAGACCCTCACTCACACCCTAAATGGAGATTTCAGTTCGTACTGTACTTCGTCTGACATCTACTTGTGCGTACATCCTTTTCCGCTGTCAAATTGTAATTCTATTTCCGCACAAACATTGCATTAATTCCCATGAACTATAAACTGTTCAAATGACTAAGCTCTTTTCTGCTAATTAAACAAAAAAGTGGTAAACAAACTTTTAATAACAACTGCACAGCCGAGCGGGCGGGTGGTATGAGTAACCTGCGCTATCAAATAAATACAATATGTAGAATAATTACTCAGAACAAACAGAAATCTGCATGTATGCATGTAAATATGATTTGTGTGATTTTTAAATTGATAAAATAGTGCAATAAATTATTTAAAAAAAATTAATCTTTTAATTTATCGCATTTACATATGTGTGTATGTACATAAGTATGTATGTTTAATCAGTTGTTATTTATAGTATTTGTAGATTTTTAAATGTTAATGTCTGTGCGTGCTTAAAATCGTATAAATATGTAGTACATTTGTATATGTATGTTATACACCAGCTACTGGAATTTACTATTCTTCAAACTAGACGTTTTACTCAAGAAACAGATACACTCGTTGGGCAAAAAAAAAACGTGGCCAAAGTTTTATAAATAAATATTTACTCAGAGGCGTACGACAATTTGTATGAGTTGTGAAAAAATTAATAATTTTTTTTTATTTACATATGGTAGAATCTAATGTAAAAACGCCATGCGTCGCAATTGCTTGTGAATTGGTTTAAAAAAGAAATTGTTTAAGGATTACATTTACACATGGATCGATTAATCGGCTTGACTTTGCTTGCCGAATATAAACAAACACAGGGTTGTACGAGTAAAAAATAAATGAAAATTTTTTCTGGTCTTTCAAAGGAAATTTTTGCTCCTGACACTGAAATCTAGCTTATATGTGTAGTTAATTTCGACTTTAATAATTCCTAAAGAGTGAAGTAGTCCAAAAATTGTCCAAATTCGAAGACAAACAAATTAGTTCTTGGTTAATAATGCGTTGAATAATACAAAAATAGATTACATGGCTGATGTTGGCGCAGTGGGTAGAGCACTCGCCTATTAAATCAGGATCCGTTGGTACGATCCCTGCCATAAGAAGTCTGATGAGTAAATGTGGTGATCTCCAAAACAGCTGTCACTTCTACTATTTTTCTTTGTTGTATAACAAAAATATTCAATTCATATAGACAAACCAGGCCTTGAGCTTACTAAACCCTGTAGATTTGCCTTGAGGTAGCTTATTTTATCAGCAGCTTCTATAGAGTACAATACTAGAATATTTTTGATTTATTTATTTATTTATCAAGTTCTTCCGAAGCCCTCGGCTCATTTGTGAATTAACGCATTTTAGTCGCTCATCTCACGCCGATTTTTTTTGGGGTAAAACCCACCTTAGTAGCCCCTCTTGCAGAGATTTATTTAACCATTAACACACACACACACGCGCACACGCACACGTGCATATCAATAATAAAAAAGTGTTTGCGTAAAGAAAACGTTCAATGGGCATTAGGATTTTTGTCGCTTGATAAGATGCGAGTTTACAAAATGCCTAGGAAAAAAGTGAGAGAGCTCATTTCTAACTGAAAGCAACATGAATCAAGTCGTTATAGTTAATTGGCCATTGAAGATATTTATGGTCATACTTTGTTTGACCATATCAGAGTGTTTTTGCGCGGTTCAAGGACAATATGGACAAATTGCGGGCGCGTGGAATATCAGTTACGAAGGTGGCGAAACTGAAAAACTCTTAACGGTTTCCGATCAAATGCAATATGTGAATATAACAATTTTCAATGTGGATTTAAGTGCCGGCACTGACTTTCACTTCGAAGTACATGTCGGTGATCCGAAAAGAGCATTAGTGGAAAGACGTATCGAACGAGCCGATTTACAAGGTACGCCAGCCTCGTGGCAAGGTGAAGTCTCAGTGCAGACACGAAAATTCGGTTTTACAAATCTCTATGTGACATTGCATGCAAGTGATGGCGTCACAGTGGAACGTTCAGCTACCGATTTGACGCTTACCATTGCGCGCAGAGAACGTTTGGATGAGAAAATTTTCAATTACACAGCATCGGGGCTGTTGTTGTTGATGTTTCTCAATTTGGGTGGCGTGTTGGATTTACAACGTTTGAAGGTGATCTTTTTGCGACCGATAGCTGTGACAATTGGCTTTTGTACAAGTTACATACTCATGCCCTCACTTGCTTTGGCACTCGGCTATATATTTCTACCGCAACTTAAAGAACTACAATTGGCGCTCTTCTTCACAGCACTCTCGCCCAGTGGCGGTTTGGCGAATATTTGCGCGATTTTCCTTAAGGGCAATGTGAATCTCTCCATTGCAACGACAACGATCAACAGTCTTATGGCGTTGGCCATATTCCCGCTGTGGATATTGATATTGACGCAAACACTCTTCGTTAACACCGAATTGGATGTGCCATTTTTGGATCTGGCAATCAGCGCTACAGCATTAGTCTGCGCGATTGCGTTGGGCATGTTGTTGCGTTTATTTCTGCCAAAAACCACAGCATTGATCTTCCGCTTCCTCAAACCGTTCTGCGCGTGTCTCAGTTTATCTCTAATCGGCATGACAGTGGGCATAAATGCATTCGCCTTCAAAGAGCTAACCATATGGGTATGTATATCATTTTTTTTTCGAAATTAATTGAAATAAAATAATCAATTTTTTTTTGCAATTTCCTTACAGATCTTCCTAGCGGCACTCTTTCTGCCTATATTAGGTTATTCGCTCTCATTTGGCATATCGAAATTATTGCGTTGCTCTGCAACTGATGCATTGACGATCTCCATCGAGACGAGTGTTTTGAATATGACAGTGCCAATAATGTTGTTGCAGCATTGCTTCGACGAAGTACGAGCTGATATGACGTTGATCGTGCCCATCACGGCTGCGTTGATATCATTGGTTATGATGATTGTTATCTACGCCGTGCGACGCGTTTTCGGTTGGAATAAAAATGAAGATGGCGTGGCGTTTGAGTCTAAGGTGGAGCTTATAGATATCGAGACGGCAAAACAGAGTGAAGCGTCAGTGGCGGCAACGACAACTCAAGTTGAGAAGTTTGAATCTTATAAAGAAGTGTTTTAATTCTCTTCCATTAGTTCGTTAGGTTTTATGTAGACATTTAGGTTTCGAAGAAAAAATTGATCGACAATCGAAAATCGAAAATCGACAATCGACTCACCCTAGTGTAAGACAATATCATTAAGCTTAAGCTAAGTAACTATTTCGAGATTTCCTATATTATTTTTAGAAAATACGACTATTTATTTAAACGTTATATATTTTGTTAGCTTACGAATGATACCGCGTTGAATATTACAAAAAAAAATTAAGTATCGATAATCGATCTTTATATGCCAAAAAGACTTATTGTATAACGAGTTTATTCTTACGATTCGATATAATAAAAAAGAAGTAGTATAAAAGTACGAGAAAAAAGCTCTATGCGATAATCTTTTAATTTTTCAACATCACAAGAAGTTTTTTAGATCACATCACATCGATGTGGAATCATATCACATAGAGCTGATTGGACGTCACATCAAACAGTGATAAAAATAAATTATGTCTCTAGAGTGTTGTGTGATTCGACTCCCTTTCTGATGTGCTTGGGTTGAAGTTCGGCTTTATTGAGATATCTATTGGGATGCTACCGTAGGGAATCGCTTCGCTGTGCAAGCGACTTCAGGAGGTTTCTCGTCGCGATCCTGAGGACAATGCTCTGGTACGCCTGTAATTTGTTCATCTGCGTCTCGTTCGTCCTTGTCGTCCAGATCGATGAAGCATAGTTAACGATCGGCCGGCCAATCGCTTTAGAAGTTGCCAGCAATGCTTCTTTATCTTTACCTCACGTGCTGCCGGTTAAAGCTTTGAGTAATTTGGTTCGGCTCTGAAGTTTTGCGGCGATTGCGGTAGTATGCGGAGTGAAGATGTGCAGGTTGTTGAGCGTAGGTCCCAATATATTTGGGTTATTTTCACATCATCCACCTTCACATCCAGTTTGAGCCTGTATTCCTTTATCCAGCTTCTACCCTGCGGAGCCTTTTGTTCAATTCTTCTTAGTGAATCCCGCTTTTTTGTATGGAATAACATAGTTTAGTTAAGTCAATAAAATATATTAAAGACTTTTATTACGAGGCAGCAAGGCGGTGCCGCTAAATCTCTGGTATTGGAGATCTCAATTGGTCACCGAGATCGTACGGTTTTACACCGTTGGACTTTTTTGTCGGGCTCTCCGAAAGATCGTATTTATGCGGATAAATCAACAATTGTCAAGTTATAGGTAAGACACCGCCCAAAATGTAGTCGCAAATTGCCTCAAACGGATCAAAGTTTGTTAGTGTTTCACATACAACATCAAAATTCAAACTTATCAATCAGCGGTGATTAGGTTCAGTTTGAGAAGAAATTTAAAAAGCTCCTCCGTTTTCAAATGGATTTTCTTTCTTATTTCTGAGGTGGTAAAAATTGCTCGGGGGATGGGATCATGTGTAGGAATTCACGCAAGTGAGGAAAGTTTTTTTACATATCGTTGATTTGAGCCCACGGCCCGATGGAAGAGAAAGACAATGTGACCAACGGTGGCTTTTATGACCGCCTTGAACATACTTATGAATGCTGCCCCCGCCATGATGTCAAAATTGTGCTTGGCGACTTTAACGACAGGGTGGGCAAAGAAGGTATCTTCGGCAAAACGGTCGGAAAATTCAGCCTCCACGACGAAACATACCCTAAAGGGTTGCGACTGCTCGTCTTCGCCGGGGCTCGAAATATGGTTTTTTGTAGCACTGAATTACAGTACAAGAAAATTAACCAAGCTGCTTGGCTGTCCTCTGATCGAAAAAGACGAAACCAGATCGATCATGTTGTGATTGACGGAAGACATGTCTCCAGTGTTCTTGACGTGCGCACACCCCGAGGACCCAACATCGACTCGGACCACTATCTTGTTGAAGCGAAGATTCGCACACGCCTCTGTGTATCAAAAAAACATCCGTCAACAAACACAAAGAAGGTCCGACGTCGAAAAACTGCAATCACAACAGACTGCCGAGCGATTTTTTGACAAAAGGCCGAAATGCGTGAATACGAAGAGTATACTGAACGGCAGTGAAAATGAAACACCCGGAGATGGTGTACCCGAAAACCCAATCGATGGCGATGGAACATATGCTCCGCTCCCTGACCATGTCGTAGTTCGAATAGGTATTGCCCGCTTGAAAAGCAACTATTCCTCTCGAAGTCTCTCAAAGCCGACTCACCAGCTGTTGACATCGTTCACGCTTCTGCGCCACATAGTAGGACGAGTGTGATGAGCGACTTGTAGAGTTTGGGTTTCGTTCGCTAAACATATGTACGAGTATGTATGTACACATATTTAAGCAAAGTGTATTTAATGTGAATATAATGGGAAACCCACATAAAAAAATATGAAAACCATAATCATTACATCAGATAAACAATAACGAGGTGTGTTCAAAAAATAAGCAAAGCTTCTATTTTTGGAACTAAAAAAAATTTATTCGTCTGTGGTATGGATGGTATCGCCTTATTTGTGGTTTTGCGTCTTGATGTTTTTCCAACAAATGGAGGGACCTACAGCTTATACCAAGCCACCTCCGAACGTCTGATGGTTTTTTATGGGAAGCCTTATTTTCATGTCAGAAATACACTCGGAGGGGTTGACATTCCCTGCCGAGGGGCGACCACAATTAGAAAATTTGACTTAATTTTTTATTTAAATTAATTTTCTATAAATTTTTGGATATTGGCCACATGGGGATTTGAGCCCGAGCCACTCGGCTACCGCGGCCGCCATTATGTATATGAAATCGTAATTCGGCTCGTTGTTGACGTTATTTAGCGATTATTGAGCATCTCCATTCTTTTAAACCACCTAAACTAAAAAGCATGGAAATCACTTTTTCTACCGAAGTCAAATATCTCGGCATAATCTTAGATAGCAAGCTTAATTGGAGCCGAAATTAGACGGAAAGGTCGCGAAAACCTATCACTGCACTTTGGGTATGCAAAAATGCCATTGGCAAAAGATGGAGCCTAAAACCATCTATTCGTCATTGGATTTATACAGCGGTAGTCCGAACCATTCTGCATCAACTCAACCTAGCTTCCATGCGCCACTTTTTTTTGATCAAGATTGAAACCTATTTTGCTGTCACGCCTTTCATACCCAAAACATTGGAAAAAATTTCATCACATGACTCAATCGATATTCCAACATTATCGACTTCTCTTGTTGTTTGCCAAATTTTCATCGATTGTTGATGTTGATGGTGGGCTCAGGGCGTCTTCATCGCATTCCTTAGCCAACAATGAAAACTGCTGACAGTTCTACCATACTTCGGGGGCATGAACCCTTCTTTTTAAACACACTTTGCAGTTCTTTCAATGGAAAAAAATGAGGAAATTCAGAGAAAAAATAAAGGAAATGCATTAAAATATTACGTAGAATCATTAAGTAGAAAAAATTATGGAAAATTAAATGGATATCCAGGTAGTAATTAGTATTTGTTTACATTCGACGCTGAGAAAAGTATTTTAAAATTCATTTACTGCACAATGTGGGATGCGATAAATGTTCGGCATTATGTTGAATGAAGAATTGTTTTAACAGAAAATTTCACAAGAAAAGCAAAAATTATTTTCAATTAGAGAAAATCGCAATTCGATTAAGGCTTTTTTTACTGTTTTATTTTTACAGTTATTTAAATAAAAAAATCAAAGGCCATAGCCACATCAAATTTATGGCCTGGGGTTTTCCAATGAGAGATGTTGTTTTAAATAGACATCCGGTAGATGTCACCTTTGGAGCTGTAATTTTTTGACATTTGACAAGTAAAAACTTGGTCAGTGGAACAATACACGATACCGTGGGGTCCACTTTTTTTGGATGAGGCAGAGCACATTTAAGTTCCATTGTTTGCGCCTTGATTTCGTCCGTAAATATTCTGCAAAAAAGGTAAGCCAAGGGATCCAGTTGCTTTGTATTTCTTTTAACGGACAATCATTATTCGAGCCTTGTCATAGTTCGGTAAAGGAACTTCTTTTCCATCATCATCGTCTTCGGATGTTCCGCTTGGATAGCCAATCTGTAGAGCGATGAATAAAAGTCATCGGAACCCCTTCTTGGTTCCTACAGGAGTACGCGCCGATTTTCAAAACTTCTGTGAGAAAAGGAAGATTTTGGCGCCGGGGGAGGAGTCTTTGAAGCAGGGAATAACTCGAAGTGTATCGTTCTAGTCTGCCCACTACGGACTCTAGGTCAGATAAAATTAAATGACCCTTATGCGACAGCTGCGGTAGCCGAATGGTTAGCAGGTTTAAATCCTGGAGTGTATTTCTGACATAAAAATAAGGCTTACCATAATATAACCATCAGCCGTTCGGAGGCAGGTACGTATAAACTGTAGGTTCTCCATCTGTTGGAAAAACATCAAGACGCAAAACCACAAATTGGAGAAGGAGCTCGGCCGAAAAATGTGCAGATATGTATTCAGTGTGCTTGAAACTTCTGAGAAATTGTGGGACTAGTTTGCGCACAAACAGACGGACAGACTGGGCGAGATCAACTCAACACGTCATACCCGATTGGCATAAATTTTGATAGATCTGCATTTTCTTCTTCTGCTTAAATCAGTTATCTCTTCTCTACATATCACCAACGATATGCCAAATAAAAATCACGTCAGTTTTGCCTCTATTGCCATAAGTGATTTCCAGTTATCTTCCATTAGGCTCCCCCTTATGTGAAAAATAGTGTATGAAAGTATATTAATAAATATTTAATTTCAATACGAAACATTCCAAGTATTAAATTAACTTGAATTTATTACATATGTACATATGTATGTATGTGTGTTTCACAACAACCTCTCCCGAAGCTTTTTTTCATAAAACAACCAATAAAGGCAATAAAACAATTGATTCGCTGCAATGAGAGTAAAGCTGAAAAGCTTAAGCGCTTTTCATTCATTATCAGCCGGTACATGCAATTGGCAGTGATAAAATCGCTAATATTTCTTATCTAAAAGTTCTTTAAAGACATGGCAGGAGATTCCCAGTAGGACATATGAGGGCAATTGTGGCATCTACTTTGTTGAATAGAAAATCGTCATTAAAGTCGAGTGCAGGAAAAGTGGAAATTAAATAAAAATAATTTAAAGGTTTATTTGATCTTTTTTTGGATTTCTTAAATAAAATTAGATCAGTCTCGTGATAAATTAATTATGAAAAAAAAACGGATAATCACCGATTTGTGTTCTAACTCTGTGTCTCAATTGAAAACTTATAGCAATTATTTTCGGTATTCTGTTGCCTTCACTATACTCCGGGTGATGTTAATGACCATTTCGTACTTTTTTCCACATTTTAAAATTTTAGTTGGTCAAAATATTGGATAATTTGGAAAGTCTTCGCGGTTTGGTAATGGTGTGGTGTTGCTACTTTTATTTCGGGTAAAACTACTTCCATTGAGTCAAATTAACATATCAAACAATATCATTCACGAAAACATTTCTGTAAGTGCATATCAGGTAACGCTCGTGCCTCACTTGGAGGTTGCCGATGTTGACACCCTTCGTGCCAATAAGACGGTGCCAAATGCCAGACAGATAACGAAACAATCAATTTATTGAAGAAAACTCTTGGTGAACGCATTATCTCGTGTCCTGGGCCTGTGACGTGGCCTCTTATATTTACCTTCTGACTGAACACCGCTGAACTATTTTTTGGAGATTATGTAAAGTTACTTATCTACACAGATTGACGCCCGCGAAGGAACATTCGGCTCGAATTGCTGCAAAAAGTGGTCGAAAACATGAACGGGCGGCTGAAAAAGTGTTTATGGTCCTGACGCTGTAACAGCCAATCACGCGCAATTTTGGTTTTGTTTGGATTCCGTTCCGGTAATTCCGATGTCAAAGATGAAAGGCCAATTGTAGAAAATGTCGATAAAATCATGGAAATTGTCGAGGCCAACCGTCATGTAAACACTGTTACGATTGTTCAAGGGCTAAAGATTACGCAAAAAATCGTTTGAAACCATTTGAAAAGGCTGGATACGAAAAGAAGCTCGATGTATGGGTGTCACACGACTTAACGCAAAAAAAACTCATGAACCAAATTTCCATTTGCGAATCGCAACAAAATCGACCCGTTTCTGAAGCGGCTGGTGACTGGTGATGAGAAGTGGATCACTTATGACAACGTCAAGTGAAAACGGTCGTGGTCGAAACGCGGTGAGCTGGCAGAAACGCGGTGGCCAAGCCAGGAAGGTTTTGTAGTGTGTTTGATGGGATTAGCTGGGAATTATCTACTATGAGCTGCTCGCATACAGCTCAACTCTTAAGTCGCGGAACTATGCTGTCAACAAATGCCCAGAAGCCGCCAGCTTTGACCAATAGGAGAAGAATTGTGTTCTAGCAGGACAACGCCAGGCCACACACAATGATAGTGGCTCACCAGAAACTCTCGGAGCTTGATTGGGAGGCTTTTATGCCTCCACTTTATAGACCGTATCTGACATCAAGTGATTACCATCATTTCCTGTCCATAGCGAACAATTTTGCAGGTAAAAATTCGCTTTAAGAGAGGCTTGTGAAGGTTGAAGGTCTCAATTTTTGCCAATAGGAACGAGAGCTTCTATGAGAGCGGCATAACGAAATTATCTTTAAAATGGCAACAAGTTATCGAATGAAACGGTGCATATTTGACTTAAATCAGATCACTCTAACTATGGTAATTAAAGCCTTTAATTTCATGCGAAAATAATGGATTTCTTTTTACTACACTTAATATATTAACTGTTACTAGTCCTCTGGTATATTAGAAAATTACTAACTTTTCCTTGCATATATATTTATAAAAATAATATATTATTCGTTTAAAATAAAATATTTTCTTAAGAAATCTGTAGCAGAGAGCGAAAAGAAGTGGGTAGCAAAACCACGTTCCATTGGGCATGGAAGGCAGGATAGCACAGTAAAGGCCATGGTAGACTACATGGAAAGGACTACAAGGGGAGTCCTTCGCGGTTTATGGACAATACCCAACCACATGTGGCCAATCATTCTAATGGGGATTAAAAAAAAAAAGTTCACACAAACAAATGCAACATAAATTTTAATATTATATTCTTGTACCCACGAAGCTTTCTAAGCACAATAACACGCACGCACACTCATGTGGACAAATTAAGCCAAGCTTAGGCTTTCTCGCAGACTATGTACGCGCATTTTAAAATACGAAACAAACGGGTTTCGTATTCAGTTGTAAAAATGCACTGAACGCGGTGGCAATGGACGGTGCTGCAACAGAGAGATGCTGTTGACAAAAACAAAAAAAAAAAAAAGTATTTTAAAACTAAAAATAAACTATTTACGCATGCAAATGAAGCTGTAATATCCGTCCATTGGAGAGATCTAATTTTTGGCCTGTGACTTAAGGAGGCAGTGAAAATTTAAGATTAAAATTAAAGCGATCACAATTGCTTTGAGGTCAATGAGAAAAGTGTAAAGTGTTTTAGAGTTAAGAAAGTAAGCGTAAATTAAAATTTATAACCAAAGTAATTAACTGTGATTCGGGTACAGTCTTGTGCATTTAAATAGAATTAAAAGGCGATACTTGATTTTAGTGGAGTAGTCTTTGAATTTTAACATTTTTTTTGTTTTTTTACTTAAGAAATAGTTGCAAAAAAATTTAAAAAGTGTTTTAAAAGTGTAATTCTTTTTGGAAAAGCGGTTTTCAAGAAGAACGCAACGTTAGGTTTCGAAATTATATTTTAAAAATGATTTCGGACAGGCGATAGCCGTGACTGGCTCAATTTTCCACCACGATCACGCAGCAAATAAGCCGTATGCTAGCAATAACGCAATGAATATTCTCTTCGAAAGCGTCAATCGTCTCGGGTGCATCTGCGTAGACAAGCGAATTCACATAGACCCACAAAAAATAGTCCAGCGGTTTAATACCGCACTATCTTGGAGGCCGTGCCGCGCTCAGCAAAAGTTTCCTTCAATAAGTTGATTGTTTCGTTGGTTGTATGACCTGTAACGCCGTCTTGTTGGACGCAAAGATCGTCTATATCAACATCCGCCAATTTATGCATTAAATAAGCATTAAGGGTCAATTTTGTTTTTTAACATACCCATTCAACCAAAATGCAGTGTCGTTGCAGACCATAATTTTTTTTGTGAAAATCGGGATCGACGGCCGTCTCGTTTTGATCAACATTCACCGAATGTTTGACACGCTTCTTGGTCGTTCGGCTTCACTTCTTGTACGAGTTTGTGAGAATGCACACCAAGATCTTCCCGCAAAATTTTGCATAAAGTGGATTAGCACAGCTCCAATTGTTGTGTACTGTGAGTCCATCCGGTGAATATTTGATACTCTGCTCCCCAGCACCCGTAGCGCGTCTTTACTTCGCACTGTACGGTGGCTCTGAAAATGCACATTATCCACTATAGTAAATGTGTTGCGAAACCGATCCCAGAAAATCACTTTATTTTCAACTTTTTACGCTTAATCAATTCTTAATTCTTAATAATAATAAAACTTTATAGAAGAGAGAAATTAAATACTTTTTCACATCTACGAACTCGTTGACTCAAAATCCGTTCTTCTGCTCTTCAGAGTGGGCAAAGGTGCGCATTATGAGCCTTTTTTAGTCTACGCCCCGCGTAGCAAGCGCAAATAGTTCGTAGAAAAGTGCAAGCCAGTCAGACAGAATGGACTTTTTCGAGCTATGCAATGATTGCGGCAGTATTGAATTCGTTGTCAAAGGATTTGAGTATTGTCAAAAAAAGATTTTTGAGAAATAAAAATTGCGAGTGCAACTGCAGCAATTGGAAATTTAATCCCAAAAATCAAATTGCAGAATAATAATGAAATTTTCATATCTGCAATTATTTGAAATTAAATTGCAGAAAGTAGTCTCACGTCGCGGTATTTTGAATTACCCCCAAGTGAAATCTTAAAAATTATTATTTTAATAAATATATATGAGGACAACTTGGAAAGTAATGACAAAACTTTGTTATTAAAAATTAAAAATCGAGGTGTAAAATGTTCCTTTGAAGAAGAAAGTGGTTGAAAAGTGAAATTTCAAGGGAGAAAAAGTCGACATTTCTATAAGGCAATTCTTTTGTATCCCTCGCAAAAGGTCCTCATTCGTTTTTTTAGTCATTGCGTGATCAAATATATAAAGTTTTTTAAGAATTCCAAAACGTTCTACAAAACATTTGTAATCACTAGTATTTTCTAAAAGATATTTAATTAATTTTGTTTTGAAAAAAAAAATCATAAATAAAAACCATGTATTATGTACTAGATTTTGCTTGCGATTTTTAATTTTTTCCCCCCGTTATTTATTTCACTTTATACGGTTATCCCTTTCGTGGTTTCGAAAGTACAGGATTGTTTTTTGACATCTGTTTTGTTTTACTTAAAAGTCAGGTATTTATGAAAATTGATCGAAAAACGCGTCTTTGTTACTAAAAAGAATAAAATAATGGTCATTCAAACGTGCCACGTTCTCTATTTCTCGACTTTCTCGACAGCTGGGAGTTGTTTACGGCCCATTAAGGCCATTTCACACTTCGATTTACACCTACATTCATATAAAGTTCAGCTACAACCAGAAAACTTACTGCATTTAAATTTTATAACAGATTTATTTTGAATGATTTTATTTAGGTATATTTTCGAAACCGCAAAACGGATAGCTCTGTAAAATATCAATTTTAATATTGAGATTTTTTAATACTTTTAAAACCCAACCAGATCAGTCCCTGGTATTCTAAAGGTGAATACGACTTTTTCGAATAAATCGGTCTCAGTAGTCCTTTTCTCAGAAAATTCTTTCTTATCATACGCAGTGGATACCCTCTGTGTTTCAGGTCTCTACTGTTAGTATTTTAGGTTGTGGGATGTTTTAGGTTTTAGGCTGTGATGATCACAGTCATTCAGGACACATTCCTTTATAAATGTTTATATATTACAATAAATTATTTACATGGAACGTGATGCTTTGGAATATTGCGCGAAGAATGCCAGTCAGAACTCAAAACGTTTGGAGCTGCTCGGACTATTCTCGATCCACCTTGGGCTGAGGATCTCGCAATTGTGCATTTGAAGATGAAACCGTTGAAAGGATTTATGACCGAGCTCCTCCGCCAATTTGGTATGGTTTGCGTCGCTTTGATATTTTTTCCAACAAAGTAGAGGAACTTACAGCTTATACTAAGCCGCCTCCGACCGTTCGAGGAGCTATTTATATTATTATTATGGCTGTTGGTCGTGCTAGGACTCGAACACTGGTCTACCGAACTAATCGGCTATTTCCACGTCACACTTAGTGATGAAAAATATTCCTACATATTATTTAAGCATACTTTTCGACAAGGCTTGAGCTATGCGAAAACAGTTGAGCGGTTCCTTAATATGACATTTTTCATTCCAATCCACTTGTGGAGGTATCCATGTTGTTGGGCATAAAGTCGAGTCACTCAAGAAAAGTTAATTATGAGTCTACCAACGTTCCACAGTGTCTAACGGTGATTCTTACAGTGATATATCTATCAGCAGTATTTATATTTGTTATACTACAGATGACCTTAGACGCTAAGTTTGGTTTGGGTGGATTTATACTTTCCAGAAAAAAATTCAGTTCATTACTTTAGTAGAAAGCCCACAAACCTAGGCGATGGAAGACATTTTTGCAGCGATATATTTTAGACAAATGAAAGCGAACATGCCCTGTCGAGAGAACTGCTTCCGGTGGTCTATCTATCTTAGTAGATTTCCTAGTGAAAAAGACAATTTCAGTTGTAGTGGGATATAGCACAAGACCCGATGATTGGAACCTAAGTGTGCTCTGCCCAATCCACAAGGCGATCCTACAGTCTGCGCCAACAACCGTGGAATAAGCATTCTCCTCAACATCACATAAAAGGTCCGATCAAGCGTAATGTATCAACAAATTGATTGGACCTTATTAGGGTGGCTTTACACCTGGTAAGTCACCTATTGACCAGTTATTCACCATGCGCCAAATCTTGGAAAATACCCGTTGAAAGAGGATCGACACACACCACCTTTCGTCGAGTTTAAAGCCGCGTTCGACAGCTTGTAGAGAGCTGCCTCTACACCGCTATGTCTGAATTTGGTATCTCCGCAAAACTTATACGGCTGTGTAAACTGACATTAAGCTGCACTCCGTCAGGATCGGGAAGGTCCTCCCCGAGCCGTTCGATACCAAACGAGGTTTCAGACAAGCTGCAGAGATGAATAGAAATGGTACAATCTTCTATGAGAGTGTACAGCTGCTGACGTATGTCGATGATATCGACATTATTGTCCTCAACAATCGGAGTTCTGCTTTATCTAGGAACCAGCATCAAAACCAATCACTCTAGCCAACAGGTTCTACTTTGGACTGAGTTGGCAATTCAAAAGTAAAGTCTTCTCTCGGCGAGCGAAAACTAAACTCTACAAGTCCCTCATCGTTCCCGTACTGCTATACGGTGCGGAAACATGGACGATGACAAGATCTGATGAGTTAGCGTTAGAAGTTTTCGAGAGAAAGGTTTACAGTCTTTTGCCCATTGGTAACGGCGCAATATCGTAGAGGATGGAACGATGAGCTGCACGAGTTATGCGGCGAAATTGACATATGTAGTTCAGCAAATCAAGAAGCAGCGGCTACACCGGCTAGGTCATGTCGTCCGAATGGTTGTCGTTTAGCAGCCGAAAATTGTTCTGTTGCTACATGAATTTCCTGAGCATGAATTTGTCGTACTCTCAACCGCTGTTTGCTCATTGTAAGCTTCATGAAGATTCCGATTCGAGTAGATTCCCTTGCAGTAACATTATCCTCTGCACTACGATGTGCTGTATAATTACTTTAGTCCGTTGTGCGTCGGAAACGCCGACCGATATTAGCGCCACCTCTACGTGGCATCGTAACCAGTTTCAATCTACAATCATGAAACATACATGAAGTTTTCACTGAATTATTTTCAATAATTTACCTTTTGAATAGCCGAAATAAAGAAAGCAATCGGCCGAAATTGAACGATTCAAATAATTTACAAATCATTTGAAAAAGTAACGCAATGGAAAATTGTTCGAATATGCAAATCAGAAAGGAAAACTAATTTAAAAAAATTTAAATTTAAAAAAAATTTAAATGTAAAAAAAAATTTAAATTAAAAAAAATTTAAAAAAATTAAAAAAGAAAATGTAAATTAAAAAAAATGTATGGAAAAGTCACTTTTTGGAACTTTTCGATTTTTCGACCTTTCCTCAGGTATACGGATTTTCTTATTTCTAAACCTTCATCAAGAATGGACCAGCCGTTCTCGAGCCTTAGCGTCACTAACAAACAAACTTTCACTTTTATATATTAAGATTAGCAAGCCAATTAATTAGTAAATACATTTGGACTTTGAAAGTTAAAATTTTTTTTAAGGTGTTGATGCTGGCGATTTTCCTACAGGCACTATTCATTGAATTTCAGAGCGTGCATTGAGCACTTTTCAAGTACAACATTTCTGCTTTTAGTAATTTTTGATTTGATTGTGTTTAAAAATACAAGCAGTACAAAATAAAAGTATTAAACAAATGATTTCAATCTTGATTTGTTGATAAAGCTAAGCACATTAGGGTAGTTGGATCGTTTTAAGGTATTATTCCATGATAAAGGATTTGAAAGGAATTTAAAAGGTCGAGAATGACTATGAGATTGGTAAAATTAGGAATTAAGAAATAGAATAATTTGCATAAAAAATACTAGAAATATGTAGTACATAGGAGCTTTAGAATAAATAAATTTTGCTATTATTTCAAAAAAATGGATTTTTATAAATATTAAAAATATAATACTATTTCAAATTATTAATTTGATTAATATTTTTTTTTTTAGTTTTTCAGTATCATCATGATAAAAATATGCAGAATACACATGTGCATACATACATACACAATAAACAATATCGGAGTATCATCAATATTTCAATTAACAAAGAAATATTAAGTCTGTTTGGTGAGCTGATGGGCATTAACAATTGTTGCTGAAGCGCATTCAGTGAGGCAAAGAGCCAATAGAATTTACCATTATCTAAACATATGAAGGTCCAAAAATTCAGTTAATCGGCAAGACGGCAAAGCTATCGGTAAAAAGTTAAGCGTCAATAATGATTAAAATAATCTTCATTACTCGAGCATAGTGAACGCCACAGCTGTCGCTATCGGTAATAATCAAGCGCCACACAAATTTACACTACAATCTTTTTAACTCGAGAAATAGAAAGCTACTCAGTTTACATACATTGCCTGCAGGTTAAACAAGCAGCGCAGTTTTGAATAGCCGCGCGCGCTAAGAAAACGTAGAAATGAGACGGAAAATGCAGTATTTGTTGTTGTTGCTCGCGTTGTTATGCACATTAAATGTAGCAGCTGCAGCTGTGGGTGGTGCTGGTCTTGAAGTTGATGAAAACCATACAAAAGCCGTGAATTGGTCAGTGCAATTTGAATATGAACAGTTAAATATGACAATGAAACAAATGCAGAAAGTTTCATTCGTTATCACGGTCGTTGAAACACCAACAAGCTTGGAAAATAATGCTCAATTTCACGTGATGAATGATAACGTTGATGTCGCCCATATCGATCAGATGGAGATGAGCTTGACGAGCAGGTTGGATGGCGTAATGAAAATGAGAGGTACTTTTAATGTGGAAGCAAAACTTTTGGGTTATACACATATTTATTTGGAGTTGCGACGTGTTGGCTTTGAAACGGTGCAGTCGCAGGCGACTATGAAAGTTATTGTGACCAGAACTATGACTCTGGCCGATATCGCATTCAATATTGCTGTTGCCTGCTTTGTCATTATTATTTATGTCAATTTCGGCGCTGTGCTGGATTTGGAGGATCTAAAGCGTATTGCTTTGCGGCCAGTTGGACCAGCTATTGGGCTATTTTGTCAGTTTGTAATAATGCCCGTGTTGAGTTTTCTAATTGGTTATCTGCTTTTTCACGATATGATTGAACTGCGTTTGGGTTTATTCTTTTTGGGCGTATCACCAGCCGGCGGTTCATCAAATATATTCGCTGTGCTACTTAATGGTAATCTCAACTTGTCGATTACAATGACAGCGATTAGTAATTTAGCGGCATTTGGTATGATGCCATTGTGGATCTTCACTTTGGGCGCTTTGATATTTCGTGATGGCAATTTTGCTATACCATACAGATCGATTGCATCAGTCTCATGTACATTGTGTGTGCCGATTGCCATAGGTGTTATGCTACAGCGGTATGCACCGGATGTGACAGGGAAAATGTTAAAATTGCTGAAGCCGATCTCACTGCTGCTCATATTGACAATTACCATTTTTGGTTGCGTTCTCAATTCTTATATGCTGAAATTGTTCACACCGAAGGTATGTGAACATTTATTAATACTATAATAAAAAACATAAATATTTTTTTTTTACTTGTTTTGCATATAAAACATAGATACTCATCGGCAGCTGCATACTGCCGTGGCTGGGCTATGTTATCGGTTGGCTTATAGCAACCATTTTGCGGCAGCCACCAAAAGATGCCATCACTATTGCCATTGAGACGGGCATACAGAATATTGGCATTGCGATTTTTATGTTGAATTTCACATTACCACAACCACAGGCCGACATGACGAGTGCAGTGCCAATGGCTAACTCAATGGTGACGCCATTGCCTTTGCTGCTCATATATTTTCTGAAATTGTGCTTTTGTCGAAATAGTGAGAAATCAGCCAAGGAGGAAATAAATGAAATTAAAGAAACTGAGTTGGTTGCAATGATGGCAAGTGGCAGAGAAAAGGAATATGCAAAGTCTGCGCAAAGAACAAACTTAGTTTAAAAGTTATAAATATTAAATAATGGAATGAAAATTTAGTTATTAAGCGGATTGTTAACTTAGTTTAAGGATTTTATGGTTGGCCTATCATGAAATCGAACTTTAATTTATAAAGCACAGTTCATTAAGATAGATAATGTGAAAAAATATATTGATAGAGGATAGTAAAAATTTTAATAAATAAAATAATATAAAATTTACGGAATGAATTCGATAACAAACAATTTAAATTGTTCTTGAACAGTGCTGCTTGCAGCTAACCAAACAAGTATTGAATTTCTTTTAACTTTTTATTGCAGTTAATTTTTTTTTTATTATTTCATGCAAAAAGCTCAAAGATAATTTTCAACTGAATTTCAGATAATACTCAATAACATAAATGTGTACACATATATATAGTAATATTTATTTTGATAACGAAAACTAATATTGGATTTTTTAAGCTTTAGAGTGTCAACAAATGTATTGTATGTGGGGATGTACGTTCGTATTTACTTTAAAAAAATTGTGGTTCTTTCTTAGCCCAATGAAGACAAACTCAGTTCGAGTTATGATAAATTTAAGTTATTATTAAAATTATAAAGCGCCTCTTGAAAAAAGTCCAAAATATAAACTATTTTTAATTGAAATAAACACACACACAATGGTTCCCAATTGGGCACTCATATGAATATTTAAATAAAAATGCTAATTAAACTTTTACATCAAGATATGAAGACACCGTAAAATGAAATTTTCAAAAATATGCCGCTTAAAAGTGCCTTGACTTTTGATAAGTTATGAAATTTATTGGAATCACGTAACACGTAACACTTGATACTGCTTAACAAATACACATTTAAGCAAACATAATCAACGCGATGGAGATTCTTAAGCCCTTCTCAGATTGAAAAAATTATTATTAATGATTCCATACAATTCCATTACATAACTTTTCACTTTCCCAAATTGTTCGAATTACAAATAACACTTACCACTATGGGCTGCATATCGACGCAAGGTAGTGCAGAGGATAGCCAATCGTTAACTCCACCAGGCACCGAATCCCAAGCAGTGTGTGGTGAGTATAAAGCAATACCTTCAGCTAAGCAAGTCGAGACAATACGCTCCTTCCAGTTTCTACAAACCAAAATGTAATATGAAAAAATTAGATAACGCAGGAATACCACAGGTGTTAGCTTACTTTTGAGTAATACGCTTCAGTGGTGCAAATATTGGTGGGTGATAAGAAACAATCAAGTCAGTGCCTTCATTAACAGCTTCTTCCATTACACGTTCCGTCAAATCATTTGTTAGTAGAATGTTGCGTATGGGTCTACAAAAAAAAGATAGATTTTGTGATAAAATGAGTATTTTGCCTTAAATATAGTGCATTACCTGGCTTTATGTGGTTCAATTAGGAGACCAACATTATCCCATTTTTCAGCCAAATTAAGTGGCGCAAACTTCTCCAACTCGGATACAACGTTCTGCAAGGTTCTTCCACGGGGCATTATGGTTGATGATGCGCGTTTTAAAACTAAAGACGCACTGCTAAGTAAATTGGTGATCATAAAAAATAGCTCAACGTATGTTTGATGATCTCACTACAAAATAAAAAAAAACCGGCGAGGACAAACAAAATCAGCTGTTGCGCGTCAGTGATGGTGTGCTGAAGGTATGCAACAAATGGCAATCGGTTAATCGAATGTTTAAGTGGTGTTATCAGATTCAGTGCTATATATTTAAATTTCTATGAAGTAGATAAGTGATTTGGAATTATCAATTAATTGGTTGTTAATCAGCATAGCAAAAATTGTATTTTGTAGAGAGGATGAATATACGAGATATACGTTTTCTGGTGTCAAGCACTGAAATCGATTTTCTGTTATCGATAAGAAACAACACAGCTACAGCTGCTAGCACTAAAAATTATTGCACAATAATATTGGCGATGGTGCAATATTTATGGCGTTTGAATGCAAATTAAAGCAAACAAAAATTGATTAAAAAATATATGCGATGAATTTGAAAACTATCAAGCATTGGTTTAAGCAGTTGGCAGAGGGAGAGTTTCTTACTTTTGCTGTAGAGTCACAGCGGCGCGTTGTTTATTTTAATCAAAGCAAAAGATCAACGCAGATAAATTAGAAGAAAATTTTATAAAAAATTACTAGGTATTGAACGATGCAGTTATCCCATCAATTTTACCTTTATATGGAAAACTTTATTTTCAGTTGCCACTAGTCGGTTGATAAAATTTTATAAAAATCTTTTGTAAAGAATTTAGTCGACAGATAAGAGCGTGTTTTTAGGAAAGCCACTATTTCCATAAATCTTTTGATATTACCAGAACTGTTCGTCTGCTAACTCAGTTATCGTGGTCGCCAGTGGTTGAAAGTAAATTATTATTTTTCCTTTAATTTGGTAAATATCCTATAGAGCAGATCCCTACATTCTTTTATTTCAAAATTATTATTGAAGGATTGAAAGTGAATATTCATTGTTTTCGTACTTTTAAGTTATATTATTTATTTAATGTCTTATTACCATTTTTATTTATCATATTCAAGTACATTACAATGCCAAGTATTTTAATAGTTTTTCTTAAAGCGTTAAGATATATTTTATTCAAACTTTAAATAACATACATAACTTAAGTTATAGTATACTAAATACTAATAAGATTTTGACAAAAGAATACTTTGGTTATTGCTGTATTTATTATTATTATTATTTTTATTAATAAACTTTTACTTTTCATTGAGTAATTTAAGGCCATATTTTTACGACATTTGCTCATCTCCTAATTTATTTATAATAAATATTTATATAAAAATTAAAATTACCGATATAGTATAACACCAATAATAAGTATATATTAACTACTAACCACTACAAAGCGACAATAAATGTATGATTTGATTATGTGGAATGCATGAGATAAATATCTTGCAGCTAACATTACATATTTATGTTTTTTATTTTAAATTTTTGTTTCTTTCTTTCTTACTACAATTATATATTTATTTAATAGTACAGTATTTTATATAAGCCACATTGCGGTTCGAAGGCCTCACTCAAATATACAAAATTATAATTCAAGTGTTGGTATGTAATTAAATAAAATGTCATTATATTTATAAATATAATAAATAAAAATATTTTTCTTATAATTAAATATTTTTATTTAAGTACATTTCAATTTCATTGAAGGCTTTTTACAATTATTCGTTGCTTAGCTATTTAGCATGTTTGTATGTAGTCTACTAAGTACAATAATTCCATTTATATTTAAGTCTTTTGTTTTGTCAAGCATAACCTCAAAATTAGGCAGAAGTCTATCAAGAAATTTTTAAATTACAAATATGTAGACACTTAATCAACTACTGAGTGTAAATGTAATTTTTTTACACGCATTTATATAAGTCTAATATTTTACAAGTAATAGTAATAGTATTGAGAAAAAACTTTGGTATTATTTTATGGGATTTTTGTTTGTTTTATTTTCTACATTTTTTAAAATTGCAAATGCACTTTTGTGCCTTTAATTAATTTTAAATTATATATTTTAGATATTTTTATTAAAATAATTAAAAAAAAAATCTATTTGTAATACTTAAAAACTAACAGTGCTTACGTATTTCTGTCTTACAAGTAGCAGCAGTGGTGGCGAATAATATTGAGAAATTGCTCTGAATATCAGAGCTGTAAAAGTATTTTTAGTTTTATATTTCGTTGTTGTTGTTGTTAAAGAAATCATTATTGAAAAGGATTAATAAATATTTCATCTGTTTCTTGCGCAAAAATTGCTTGCAGGCAAAGATTAGAATCTGACAGCTGCCAAATATAAATAAAATTATGTGTAATAAGTAAATTTCTTAAGAAATTTAATTAACACTTTTTAATTGACAGCTGGCAGATAATCTTAGTTAAGTCGCTATTTTTTTTTAATAACTTTGTTAACAATTTTTTATTATAATTTGTTTTATTTGGTTATATTTATTTAACTGTTTTGTATGATTTAGTTTATTTCCATATTTCTAAAGAATTTAAGTACTTTGGCGCTAGCTGCCCTGCTTGTAATGGCTTTAAGTTCATAGCCGACATTAAGACAAAATTTCTTAACTTTTTTAACATATTCATAAATATTTTGTTTCCTCTTTTTGACTAGATGAAGTCAGTGTAAAGGGTGCTGATACTTGACATTTTCATTATAACCCTACAACTTTCCGCTTGGAAACAGCTTATTTCTCCACACCCAACAGCTTGGCTGCCTCATCCGCCGACGAGAGTAACTTATTGAGTATACCCTGATCACTTATACCTAAGAGATTACCAATCAGATCACTGTGCAGTCCATTCGGTTGTTCTTCGGCAATGTTCTCCTTTTGCTCACCAGCCAAGTGTGCACTACGCCATTCGCTCGTCTTGCTCAGTAGTTCCTGAATTTTCGGCGTACGCAGTGCGCATGCCGCTGCGGTTGTGGTTGTTGTGGACGTAACGGCAGCGCTTATTATATTTTCCGCCGCCGATGTAGTTGTCGGTGTAGGCATTTGTTCATCATCTGAGAAATCTGAGCCACTATTAGCCAAACCCGAGGCGCCATCTCCACCAGCTGCGCCATTTTGTGCACGATTTATATGTTTCTTCATGTGTCTTAACATACTGTGTTTCAGTGTAAATTTACGCAAACAGATTTCGCATTGAAATGGCCGTTCGCCGGAATGTGTACGCATGTGACGTCGTAAATCCTCCGTTGACCAGAAGCGACGCACACAGAAGGCGCAAATGACTTTGCGATTGGTGTAGGCCGGCAATTTGGGCAGTAATGCAAAGTTGTTTGCCTCTTCGCCCGCACGTCGCTCCTCATCTTCGATGAATTGTGTTTGGTTTGCCTCGGCCTCGCTGACGATTGCGCCTTTGCTCAAGAGCAGCGTGAACTCTGGGGCATGCTGTTTCTTGATGTGTTCCAGACAGTTGTAGCGTTCGGCGAAGGAGTTTTCGCACAGATGACACTTGTATGGCAAATCGGCGTTGAGCTGTGAGAGATTCTCTTTGGCGCGTGCATCGGCTTCGGCGTTTGTGGCTACATTCATTGGGGTATTGGCCGTGGCGCTCATTGAAGCGGCGTTGAGTTGTTGTTGTAGTTGTGCGACAGCTAATTGCTTGAAGAGTTTGTTTTGTTGTTCTTTTTCCAGCTGCATGCGTTGCTCCTTCTCACGGCGCTCTCGTTCCGCTTGTTGTTCATCGGCTTTACGTTTGCGCACTTCCTCTTCGCGTTGCCGCTGTTGTTGCTCGATCTCTTCGACAGATTTTGGCACCGGTATCGGCTCGTTGACATCTTCTGTTGGCACGTATACCGACACAGCGGATTCCACATCGCCGTGTTTGCGTAGCAAGTGCCGATCGCAATTGCTTTTCGTGGTGAAGAGCAGCGGACAGTGCGAACACTTGAATGGCTTCTGGCCGGTGTGCGTTAGTATGTGACGTCGCAGTGAGCTGGACCAAGGGAACATGCGTTGGCAGTAGGGGCACGACACACGATTCGGCGCCAAACTGTAAGCTGATTTCTTTTTCGGTTCGGCTGGCGCGGCTACGTCTTCGGTGCCGGAATGATTGCTTTCGCTGGCACTGCCAGACGCTACCAAACCCTCTTCGTCGCTCTGTTCCATATGATTGGCGACATCGCTGGGGCGGAAATAGTTGTTGAATGAGACGGTATTGTTGGTCGCATTGTCGACAAGTTTGGCAACAGGCACCAAGTCTTGAGACTCGTCTTTGAAGGGTGAGCTTGCCACCTCTTTCAGAAACTTGCCCACAGACTCGGCTTGCGCGATCATGGCTTTCATTGTATTGGCCGGTGCGGCAGGTGCAGTTGGTGTTGGCGCTGTGACAGGTTTGACTGGCGCAGGTTTCGCTACAAATGTTGAGCTGGGCTGTTTACTAGCGGCTTGATTCAGTTTTTGCCCAGTTTTAATAGCCTGCTCTAGAATTGTTTCTGCTACTTTCTTAGCGGTCTCATTGCCGGGTTCAGTAGTAGCTGCCGCTGCTGTCTTCACCTCCTCCGCCACTGGCATTGGTGTTTGGAATTTGCGCATATTTTCAAAATGCTCATTTGCCAACTGCTGCTCTTCCTCCTCCTCTTCGTTGTCATCGACTATCTCTTCGACATCATCATCATCATCGTCATCCTCGTCAATCACCAATTTAGGTTCATCATCTTCAATGGAGCCATTGACGTTTGTAGGCTGCGTCAATGGGTTGAAGGAGAATTGTAGGCCGTTGGGTGGGGCAAGTGGTCCAAGTGCCGCACCGGCAGCATTCAGCAGCATGTGATGGTTATTCGCAATGCTGCTGGAGCCGTGAGCGAGTGCCTGCTGCAGCAAGTCGGTATCCTTACGTGCCTTCAGCTGCTGCGCCAAAATAGCGTATTTTACCTGGTCTGAAATGGGTGAAGCGCCCAGACCATTGCCTTGTGCTTGATTGACGGTGTTGTGAGCTTGCGCTATTGCCGCTTGAAGATGCGTAATGCTGTTAATTGTCGAAGCGTTACTAGCGCCACGTCCACGCATGCTGTGATGGCCGCTGCGATGACGTTGTGCGTAATACTGTGGATGCTGTTGCTTGACGTGACGCTCCATATTCGAGCGGAGTGTAAAACGTGCCGAGCAATGTTCACAGGCGAAGGGACGCTCGGTGCGGTAACGGCGTTGCTTCTGTTTGGGCATTAGTACGCCGTTCTTTATGACCATTTTCACAGGCCCACCCGGCAGTACGGTGGGTGGAATTTGCGAATGACGCGACATACTCATGCCCGAGTTGGGTGGCGGTGGCGTCATTAGCGGCGATGGTAGCATTTGATTCATTATATTGGGATCTGGTGTGGCATGTGGATGCGTGTTTAGCTTGTCGATCATTAGTGAGTTCATATGTGGCAACATGGGCGGTGTCATATTTGCTGATGCGGACATGTTTCCTTTATTCAGGTCAAAACCGGGTGGCATAAAGGGGTTACCTGCTGCAGCAGCGTTGCCAGCGAACATCTGATTCATTAGAGGGCCAAAATCGGGTATGAAGGGTAATTGTGTTGACAAGCTCCACAGCTCAAGCATTTTCGGCATGTTCAAGTTTTCTTTTACCAAAGAGAAAAAGTCCAGTTTCTTCTCGGGATCAACCACATTTTCCGCAGTTGTTGGTACGACCGGCGGTGCAATCTCTTTCTCAACTGACTTTGCTGTGGGTTTCTTGCTCAAATCTAAGACATCCATGCTTAGATCGATGGGCGCTACTTCTGCATGCTGCATGTTGGGCGGCGCTGGTGTGCGTTCATCATATGATTCACCATAGCTGCCAACGGAGCCGGTAGATTTATCAAGCAACTGTTCTAAACTTTTAACTTGTATCTTCATTGGTTTAGTGGCTGGGCTTTCAGAAGTGAGCATCTCCTTGAGATGCGAGACGGGTGTAGAGCGGTCTTTGGGCTGATGTTGTTGATACTGCAAGTCCATCTCATCATCGAAATCCGGTGAGGAGAACATGTGCATCTTTTTGGCAGGGTCATCACATGTCGAGTCTTCCGAAGGGTGATAAATGATGGATCGTTTCACCTCATCACGTGTGGTCTTTGCATGACGATTGCGCAAATGTCGTTCGCAGTTGGCCTTGGTGGTGAATGCGTAGTTGCACTCAGCACATTCATAAGGCCGATCGCCATTGTGTGTGCGCATGTGACGTACCAACGCAGCTTTATCGCATATAGAGTATGGGCACATATTACAACGGAATGGACCTGCCGGGCCGACGGAGCTCAGGTGTACACGATTGTGGCCTTTCAGTGCGCGTAAATTGGGGAAAACGGCCGTGCAAAGTTTGCAAGGAAATTCGCCGCGCAACTTCATTTTGCGAAACTCTGATGTGAAAGCATCCTGTGCCTCCTCCTCGTCTTTATCCAAGCTGTAATTACTAGATGGCGTATTCACGGATTGTTCAAAATTCTTCAAGAAATTCGAAGTCGACGAAGACGAAGTCATATTAAGAATCGACTGTATGTCAGCCAGGTCCTTTGAGTCGTGCGATTGTTGTGAGAGCAAATTGCTACTCAATTGGTCTGTTGGCTCATTATCAGCTTCAAGTTTGATGTCGGTATTGCTTACATTTGCTGTATCTACATCCACATCCTCCTCATGCATAGAGTGTTGCGGCGAGGGTAATGAGATCAAGCTTTGTGCACAGAAAGGCTTCTGGCTTTGTAAATACAATTGACGAAAAAAGTTATTGCGCAACTGACTCGTCTTATGCTCCAACTCGGCCTCCGTTAATGGCGCGGTAGCAAAGCTATCGCTTAAGCTACGGCTACGCCGCACGGGACGCTCCACACTTGTAACGCATTCGCGTGCATGCAACTCCAAAGCGCTGTCACTCTCGAAACTCCGACCGCACTTGAAACACTCCACCACGGGCATTGGACGTTGCCCCAGCAGACGCTGCGTGCATGGATGCAAGCTTAATTGGCGATGTGTGCGGAATACGACCTCACACTGTCGACACTTGGCTGGTATATCCGCGTGTTGACTGTCCAAATGGGCATCCAACGCGTGCGAGTCTGCAAAGTCCTCAGTATTACACACCGGGCAGACAAGGCAGGCGATGTAAGGCTTTTGCTCGACGCCATTATCATCCAAATCATCACCAGTCGTACCGGCATCCTCCGATGCAGAAGAAGCATTGGTTTTAACCATTCCCAATGCGCTCTCGATCGCATTGTGTGCCATCAGGGCGGGTCGTGCACCAACCTCGTCCACATCCTCCCCGATTATCATTGTATTGTTGTTTATGGTAGTCTTCACGCGTCGCTTGATCGCTGTCATCATTGTCAGGTCGTCGGCGTCTGTGGCGTCAGGTTGATCACTGCTCTTGCGCTTAAAATTACCCAAACTATGGCGTTTTGCGTTGATGTTGGTGCTGTAATTATTTGTTGTTTGTGCATTATTGCTCATTATGTTGTTGTTGTTGATGTTATTAATCATATTCTTGTTGTTGTTGTCGCTATTATTATTGTTGTTATTGTTATTATTATTATGATTGAGATTATTATTTGAGCTATGGCTGATGGCACTTGATGAGGAATCTGTTGAGCAACCACCGTCACTTTCGCAACTTTCCACGCCGCTACTGTGTAAGCGTTTGCCATTAACACCTACAACGGCTGGCCCACCAACAACACCACCAATGACTGCGCCAGTTGCGTGGCTCATACCAGCATCTGTCACCGCATTTACGTCGACTGATGCTGTTGTTGTTGTTGTTGTCGTTGTTGATTTTGCACCTTCCCCATGCAAATCGTGTTGGTGGCTTAATTGCGCGTAAGTGGCGGCTGTGGCTGTGGCTGAGACAGAGCCGTTTGTTCCGGCTGTGCTCGTATTACGAGTACCCGACGCTGAGTTGTTGTTGGCGCTGGTGTTATGACTATGACTGGTATGCTGTTTTGTTCCATTCGAGTTACGACGATGATGATGATTATGCTGATGCTGTTTGTGCGTACGCATGTGCCGATGCATATTACCGTTGGTGGTGAAGGTGAGGTGACAATATTTGCAATTGAAGGGTCGTTCGCCGGTGTGCACCAGCACATGCCGATCCAATGAGGAGGCTGAAGAGAGTACCTAAAAATAGTGTTGAGAACGATAGAGAGAGAGAGAGAGGGGAGAAAAGAAGAAAAAACTTTAAATAATGAATTAATTCATAAATTGTGTTGGTAGATAAAAATATGGACTCGCTAATATTGAACCCCAAGTCAAGTAAAACTCAATGTGTACTTTAAATTTCATTTTACGACGCGAACAATTTTCAACCAAGTTCGAAAATGTTTCAAAAATTATTTATAACGACGTTACGTTCCTGGATTGCACGGATCTAGAGCTCGGCCACATGAAATCTCTCAAGGCTGTGCTGATCAAATTTTCAAAATACCAGAGGCTCCAGCAGAGCTTTATGAGTTACGGGCCGCACTCAGTTATTCGTTAATACAAAAAACTTGAGGCGAGCGACCAATAATCCTAGTCAAATGAGCTTCGATTTGTGAAGCTCGTAACTTTGTTCTAAAAGATTTTCCTAACTTTATTATCCACCCTTACCACACTTACCTTCGAGCAAATAGCACAGGTGTAGTTTTCCGTATCACCCGAGGCATAGTTGTGGCAACGTATATGATTTGTGAATTCATGTCGTGTGGCCGACACCACGTCGCAAATGGTACATACAAATTTCATATCCTCACGATCTCTATCACCGATACCCGATTCGGGACTTGATACCGAGGCGGATGAACCGATAGCCAAACCCGTGCCACAACCACGAGGCGATGAAGCAGCCGACGATGAACTGTGTGAGCCCGTCGCCGAGGCCGAAGCTGACGCCGATGCAGACATTGAATTATGCGGCGACGTCACATTCAAACCCACAGCAACAGGTACACTATGTGGTGATGTTGTTGTAGACATGGCCGACGGGACAGCCGCTGCTGCTGCTGCCGCCGCCGCTGCTAATGATACAGCCGACGCATTCAGATAATGACTACTACAGCTGGCGTCCACAAAACCAGACTCATTATTATTTTGGCTAATTTGTTCGGAGGCGGAGGTGCTGCGATTAAAACGGAATTTCTTACGCAGCGAATCCGGATCATCCGCATTGAATTCCAAATGTACGCTGGTACGTTTGTCTAGACGTGCGCCGGTGCTGCGACGTTTGTGATGACGTTGTGATCTCGCGCTGTGTGCATTCTGTTTACTGCCACACTGTTCATCCGGCGACTCCTCATCATCGTCATCGTAGTCGTTAGCCTCATCCGAGTCATTGCTGTGACGTTGATGGTGCGCAGTTGTGGTTGTGTTGTTGGCTTCTTTTATATTCAATAATTCATTGTTGATATTTCTGTTTGTTTGTTTGTTCTTGTTAATATTGCTAACACTATTATTGTTGTTGCTTGTTGTGGTGGTTGTGGCGGCCGTATGCATCGGCGTCGATGTGGCCGATGAGTGTGAGCTTAGCTTCTTTGGTGTACGTCCCAAATCCAAATGTTCCAGTGATGATTCGGATGTGGTTGAGTCACGTCTCTCCATCTTTGTGACGTTCGTTGTTTGCATGGCATCCAGTTGTTGTTGTGTGTTGGCGGCTGCTGTGGCGATCATTTTTTTGTTCTTCGTTGTTTTTGTCAATATTCGATTTTTCTTTTCTTTTTTTTACTTCTCCCTATACGCGATTGAAGTTCTGCATGTATGTATGTATGTACATATGTGCGTGTTTATGTGTAGGCGCGTGCTTTTGTTTGGTTGGTTGCCTGATTGGTTGTTTGGTCGGTTTGTTGTTGGCTTTTTTGTGGTTTTAAAAATATTTTCTTACGAACAGTGATAGGCGACGAGATGCGTTCGAAATAAATCTGAAATGAGAGCAGAAATTAAACGGTAATGTGATTACATTCTTCGATCTGTGTGCGTTGAGATGAAATAATTTTGTTGCTGTTTATTTGAGGCAAAGTAGTTGAAGTGTAGAGTGATTTTTCATTATTTTTATGGATTTAAAAAATTTTTTTTTTTAAGTGTATTTTAGAATTTATTGGGATAGTAAGAACGTTAAAAATTTTTAGTTATTCTTCTTCTTATAACCGCAATTATTTTTAAGCATTCAGATGAAATGGAAAGAGAATAAAAAACATTAAACGACCCAAAAATGATTAAACAAAAATAAAATTAATTAAAAATTTAAGTAAAGGCAAAAGAAAATAAATAAGGCAAATAAGATAAAATAAAATAAAACAAAAGGAAATTATTAAAATGAAATAAATTAATACAAAACAATAACAAAATAAAATTAAACATTATAAAATAAAATAAAATAAAATAAAATATAATAATATAAATCAAATAGTTGTTAAAAATGAAAATAAAATAAAATATCGTAAATAAAATTTGTTATTAATAAAACAAAATAAAACTAAAAAAGTATATTAAAAATATAACAAATATTTAAATGAATCCTACAAACTCAAAAATAATAATAAAATAAGATGGAACTAATAATATAAGATACACAAATTATATAATAGAATAAAAAAATTACAAATAAAAGAATAAACAAAAAATAAATTAAATAATAAACTAAAAATAAATTATATAATACAATTAAATCGAAAAGTAAAATGAAATAAGCGAAACATATTTTTTAAAATAAAATAAAATGAAAAAAAGTATCAAAACCAAAGAAAATAAAGTGAAACTAATTAAAATAAATTAATTTAAATTAAAATTATGAAATAATTATTATTAACAATATAAAATATATTAAATAAAATAAAACAAAAGAAAAAAATAAAACAAAATAAATTAATTTAAAGTAGAACAAAATATTTAAAATAATAAAAAAAGAAATTCAATAATAAAAAATTACTAAAATAAAAATATATAATATAATATGAAAGAAACAACATAAAAAATTGAAAAAAAAAAATAAATTTAAAAAAAATAAACGAACCCAAAATAAGGTAAAATAATATATGTATGTATATTAAATAAAATCAACATAGAATTGAAATTAAAAAATAATTATTAACAAATATATAAAATAATACAAAAAAATACAAAAAAAGCAAAAATGAATAAGAATAATAAGTTTAAGTTGAAAAGCTTTTAAAATATATACATACATAAAATATAAAAAGAAATAAAATAAAACCAAAAGTTTGAAAAACTATATATAAAATAAAAAAAATAAATAAACTAAAATCAAGAATTTCAAAAAATACAAGAAAAAACGAAATTAAATTAAAAAAGTTACATTAAATAGAAAATAAACGCTAAAATAAACTATAATCAAATATAATAAAGCAAAATTAAAGTAAAAGGAATAAAACAGAATAAAATAAAATCATTTCAAGTAAAATAAAATATTTTAATTAAAAAAAATGATGGAAAAAGAAAAATATAAAATAAAAAATACATTAAAATATTACAAAAATAAAAACAGAAATAAACAAAATATAATATAAAAGAAAGAAAACAAGATAAACGAAAAATTAACATTAAAAAGGTAAAATAAAACAAAATACATTGAGTGAAATTAATATAATAAATATAAAAATTAGAAATAAGAAAAATACACATACACATTTATGTATGTACATACTCGTATGCACATATATACATATGTATGTATTTATTAAACAACATTAATAATTACGAAAGTTAAATTAAGATGGTGATGCCACTCGAAATGCCATAAAAAGTGTCCAGCTTTTTGACCAAAAATAAGATAACTTATACATATACATATGTACATGCATACATTTATATGTCACATATGTGTATGTGCTACAAGCCGTACAGCAAAGGTACATATGTAATGTGATAAACATACATACATATGTACACGGTGTATGCATGTAGCAATTGCATTACAAATGTATACGCAACATCACAAACATATGTATGTATTTATGTATATATGCAACAAAAAATATGAACATACATATGTCACCATAAACCCCCTTCTAACGATCAAGTCATAAAACAAAAACAAAAAACAAAAAACGAATAAACGAACCAAAATTTGATTCGCTGCTGCTGCAGCCATTGGCCATCATCGACAGCACCGACGCAACGCAACGGTAATGTCTTCGGTGTTGTCTTCTTCATTTTATTTTTTTATGTATACATATTATATTATATGTACACAAATGCATGTGTAACACATATATATATATATATGTACATCATATATGTACATATGTTAGTAGCAATAAATAAAATAACAAGTTAGAAATCTACAAATCTACGACGAATTCGATCGGTGGAGCTACTGCACACCTGCATACATACACGTACACTCATACATATGAACATACGAACATAAGTACAATGTGATTAGACAAGCGAGAGAGCGCGCTAGGGCTGTCTATGAATGTTGTTATCTTGTTGGCTACTTTTAGTGCTGCTGACTGATATATGTACATACATAAGTATGTATGTATGTATGCATATGTGTGTAATACCAGCATTTATTTTTATACCTAACTACATACATACATATGTATTCTATGTATTTTTGTACGATTAGAAATAAACAATTAGAAAATGTATTAAGAAACTGATAGAAAATGAAATAAATTGAAAGAGAATGCAATTGGAATCAACTTAAAAGGAACGGTAAATTTAACAATATTTGCCTAAGTATGTTTGTTTATTTACATTTTACATGTATATGTACATATCTATGTGTGTACATTAGTGGACGTTGGGGGCTTACAATCGGAATTTTATCAAATGGAATTGGATATTAAAATAAAATAAAATAAAATAAGAGATGATAAAATAAAATTAAAAAGAATAAAATAAATAAATTGAAATGAAATTAACTAAAATAAAAAAATAAAATAAAATAGAATATAATAAAATGCCTCGCCGTGGAATACTTAAAATGCCGTCTACCAAGGCAATTTTCGGAAGCTCAAAAAAAAAACAGATTTAAATAACACAAAAATAGAAAATACAGAAAATATTAAATTAAATTTAATAAAGTGAAGTAAAATAAATGAAATAATAATAATAATGAAATAAAATGATATGAAAAGTTATAAAATGAAATAAGATTAAATAAAATAACTTAAACGTAATATATTAACATAAAATTATAACGATAAAAAATATAAAAATAAACATTAAAAAAAATTAAATGAATATATAAAACTTTTGTCCGTTTTCTCCCCTAATAAAAAATTAAAATAAGCCAATTATCATAGCACAACAATATTTAAAATGAAAAAGAAAATAAATGTAATAAGTAAGTTCTATGAACAACTGCACTGTTTTTAAAAATTGTTGGCAATGTTTTATTGATTTTTCAAATGGCAAACCAATATGAAAAGAAATTTTCGTTTGCGATCAAAGTAAAATTGGAATGAAAAAGGTATTAGATACAAAAATGTACGAGAAATAAAGTAAAATACATATACATATATGTATACATATATATACGAGAAATAAAGTAAAATACATATACATATATGTATACATATATATACATACATATATGTATATGTATTTTACTTTATTTCTCGTATATTTTATTTTATTTCTACTCATATCTACATATGTATATACATTTAGAATACAATTTTAATGCTAATAAAATTATCATATTACTAGGAGTATTATTATTTTATTTAATTATCCATTTGCCCAAATGAGTAATATTTTCAAATAATCTTTACAAAAATGTCTGATGTCTTTTTATCAACTAAAAGTAGTTATGATAAATTTTATTTGTAGAAATTATGCACATTTAAATATCACTATCTTAGTAACAGTTTCAAATAACCTACATGATATAATATATTTATATTTTGACAAAAAGAAAAAAGATATTAAAAATACGTACACTATATAAAAAATAGCAAATTTGTGTTTGAATTTTTGCCGACGGCAAAACAACAATTTTGCTTAGAAGAACTTCGTATCTTTTGAATTAGAAATTCATTAGAAAATCATTTATGATATATATGTACTTAATGACACCGATATAGTTCAACTAAATGACACCTTAACGCAGGTGAATATATGCGTGTACATACATATGTACAAATATATATACGTACATATGAATATTGTGTATTTAAAGCGATTTTCGTTTGGTTGTCCGATATCTATAGTAATAAATGATAAGAATTTATTGATTTCGGTATATGTACATATATGTATGTATATATATTTACATATGTATGTAGACAAAGCAAAGGTACATATGTACGAAATATTGTTTGAAAGTATATAAACATCCCATGATTACTACCATTGAAAATTCAGAAGACAGAGTCATGTGCATCGTCAAGTGTAGAGGTAAAATCTAAATTAGATTAGATGTGATTATTGTTGTTGATATGAGTTTTTTTTTTAAATGATTTAGTGAGTCAATGAAATTATGAGTACGTTCGTTTATTGGTAAATTATTCTACACATACATATGTACATATCTACGAGCATAGTCTTTCGCAACTTTGACTGGTCGGATGCAATTCTATAGAGATGTCATAAACTCGCATAGCAATCTTATTGCGTCATGATTTATTTGTATATATGTACCTTTGCAGTGTATTTGCAACACCGCTGATATTATTGATTCGATTGAGTTAAATTTGTATATATATATATATATATATGTCTACTGATAAACGCATTTAGACGAAAATACTTAAAAGGGACTTCATCTGAAGAATACATTAATGAACCTAAGCTTGCGTTGAGTGGAAAAAAATGAGACTGCAAGCTATTTATAGCTACGAAAAGTATATTTTCACATACATATATAGATAGCAGTCATCATTTTTTATTTCTCCACTAGCTACTCTTTTTATTTTATTTTTTTAAATTAATAAAAAACTTTTGGCTGTTAATGTTTTCAGTTTTTTTTTAGTAATTTTTTAGGATGCATTAATTTTCGTTTTCAAGAGAAACGGAAAATCTACTTTAAATAAACTTCACGCGCATCAGAAACAATCTTTTTTTACCTTGTATTGATTATTTTTAGCAATTTATTACGAAAAAAAGAAGATAATTAACAAAATACACATTAACTTCTTTTTATAAATTTTTTGATATGTCATTTACAATAATTTTCTTTTTTTATTTCTAGAACAAAACAAATTGAGGAAATATTATATATAAAATTCAGTTTTAAGGTTTTGGTAAATTTTGGCAGACAAAAAAATAATATTTTTATTACTGTAAATTAACTAAAATAAAAAATAAATTTGAGCATTTATAGTTTAATACACATTTTAATTTTTTTTTTTCAATTACAATTTTGGTAATATTTATTTTTTTGCTATTAAGATTTTGGTGTTAATTATATTTGAACTCAGAATAAATATATTTGCTTACTTAGAGCATGATTACTTTTTTTTATTGCAAAATATAATAACCATTAAGAATAGTTTAAAAATGTTTTTATTTTTTGAAAATTTTCAAAGAAGAAAATTACGTTTTTATAGTTTACCATCGCTTTGTATATTCAAAAATTCCTTCAAGTGTTAATATGTTTTTGTATCTTTTTTTGCTAAAAAAAAAAAGAAAAGTTTTGTGGAAGCACGGAACACATCATCATTTTATTTTAACTTAATTTGATTTCAAAGCGCACATTTAACATACAAATTAAATATTTTTATCTTGTTTAATTCTTAATATTTACTCCATAATTTCATAAAAATTTTATTAGATGCTCAACACTTTTAAACTTAAAATATATTTAAACGCTTTGAATGATTTTATCCAAATCAATAAGCGCTTACGCTCGAGCAGATTTTCATTTCATTTAGCATTATGCATAATGAATTTCCCGGTCGGTTTTCTAAAGCTATCCTGCCTTAAAGAACTAGTTTTTCTTAAATTTAATTATTCCCGAAATATATTTACCGTCTCGTTTATCGTTTTTTAATGCTTTCAGCAGTTTCTATTCCAGAATTATTGGTCTTGAGCAGAAGAACACCAGCAAATTAGTATATCATATTTGCAGTTTTTATTGTTGCAATTTTTACTTAATCACAGTAACAATTTTTTTTTCGAATATTTTATAGCTCTGTAGGTGTATAATATTTTTAAAGTTAAATCTAGTAGGTTATCCTTTGGTACTTCGTTTGAAATTCACTTAATTTTTACTTTTTTTAATCAATTCTATTTTACTTGATTATTAATTAATTTTTATTTTGATTATTTTTCAATTTATAAATTTTTTTAATTAAATATTATTTTTTATTACAAGTGAGCACAAAGTTGTTAAAGTGTTGATTGGTTGCACAAGTCATTGAGGAACACCTAATGCGTTTTTAGTCAATTTTTTTTTTTTTGTTTTTTGGTTCGAAAACTTTTTTTTCAGTAAACACTATTTTGTAGTCGTATTTTTATTAATAATTCCTTATTTGGTTTGTGAGCATTTACAGCACTTAATAAATATATTTATATTCTCTGATTAAAGTTCAATTATTTTACTTTAGTTTTCCTTCAAACATCACTTTATTCCCACTTCACTTAAATTGAATTCTGTGTGTAAAGTTGATTCTTGAGCGACGACCCGATAATTTCAGCTATAGATGTAAACACGTTCACGGGCGCACACGGAATGATACATTCGCGTCACGATGAGTTCGATTGAAGTTGCGCACCTCAGCTAACAGCTCAGCTCAGCACAATACGGTGCAGTTCAGCTCAGTTCAGAGCAGAGGCTGGCGCAGAGCAAAAGACCAAAAGCAGCAGCGCAGTGCGTAGCAACTGCAAGACGATAAAAGTTCATCGAAGAAATAATACAATTAAATGAAGTTAAATGCGAGCACAGGAGATGAGTCGATGGAACGAGCGAGTAGTGTTTTCTTCTTTTGCTGTTGTATTTTTTTTTTTTGCTTTATGTTTAATCGGTGTTTCAAAAGTGAGTGGCAATATTAAGACACTTTGTTGCTGTTGCACTTATTTCTATATATTACTTCATTCGAGGGCTGTTCGTTCACATTTAGTCCGATCTGACGCACGCAACGTATCCTTTACCGTTGGGCAGATGAAAGACGACTGTTACGAGAGTACATCCATGGAGTTATATTTAAAAGAAAATTGTAAAAAAGAGTCAAAGCGTGCTGCTGAGCGCATATGGGGTTCGGCGTGAATGGATGGCAGCAGCGACGACAGAAAGAACTAGTCCCTCCAGCAGCAGCAGCAGCAGCACACGAACAAATTCAACTAATTCCAAATGCGAGTAGAGAAACAGCGCCCGCGACAACACCAAAAACACCAGCAACATCAGCAACCGAACTGAATTGACTGCAGTTGACGGTCAACCCTGCTCGCTGGCTTACTGACTGGCAGCTGGTTGGATGTAGCTGTTGCGCAGAGGTGCAGAGAACGTTAAACACACACACACAATTAAGTTTGTGTAGAGAGTAGAGAGCCATTCAACAACCGGAAAAAGCAAACAAAAACGAGCAGAATTATCTACGTTTGGTACCCACACAAATGCACGATATGGGCTTTCCTAAGCATGTGTTGGTTGGTTGTGCCTCTGCGGCGGGCAAGACAGTAGATAAAGCTTCGTTGCTCTCCGCACAGAGGAAACAGATACTGAATTCTCACTTGTGCTGCTGAGTTGACGCGCTGCAACAGCAAAGGCGCGATGCGAGTTCAGCACGGAAGGGGAAGTGATGTAGTTAATGTGTGTGTGTGTTGTATTGTGTATTGTGTGCATGTGTGTGTACGTGCCGAAGCAGCCATTACTGGAGCTAGCACTAGTAGTGTATTGGGATGAGAGCGTACGAATGTTGCTCAATAATAGGCGCAAAAGAAAATAGGATTAACTTTTGGCGATGTCGTTTTGTAGAGTATGCGTCCCTGAGATTGGGTAAGCTGTGATGAGGGGCTGAGACAGCACCAGCAACACCAGCAGCAGTGGTAGCAGCAACAAAGTGCATACATACATACATATGTATCTAGTTGCGAGAAAGTCGATACTGTGTGCGCGCATATTCGTTTCGAAGATTGGTAGACCAAGCATACATATTATATACATATGTAGGTAAATATATACCTCTGTGTGTCCGTTATGAATGTGTTCTTGTTTATTTGTACAATTGTAGATGCGAGTATTCTAGTTTCTGTAGTCACAACAAAGAGATGGTGCAAGATGGAAAATTTTCCCATTTTGGCTTGTGCTTTTCAACTGGCAATTGCTGCAGGAACAGCATAGCTGCTAGAATGCTGCATACTGCTGCGTATAACCAATAGGGAGTAGAGAGAGACAGCAGCAGCATTCGCTAAAATGTGGCCTATGCGGCAGGAAATGGAGGATGGATGGATGGTAATGCCCTTCATCGCAATGCGGATAAATGTGGGAGCAGTGCCTCTCATGATTCGTTAGTTACAGTGAGGGGAAATCGATTTTCAGCATTCGGCGTAGCAGATTATTGATTCTTTAGCTTTGGCTATGGATGACTATGCTGTTTAGTAGTTACATACATATGTATGTATGTTGTAGAAAAAATTCTCATCAATTATTAGGAATTTCGTTACTGAAGGTCGTAAATGCAGAGAATGTAAGTACTTACGTACCTTTGTGTATAAATATACATTGATACATACGAGTTTTCTGGTTTTATTTTCTTCACGGTAGCTTCATTTTAGGCTCCTGATTTTTAACGTTTTTTATTTCCCCTTTGTGGTTGTAATGAATTGTAGGCCCATCCATTTGTTGGCAAAACATCAAGACGCAAAACCACAAATTGAAGGAGGGGCTCGGCCGAAAATCGCTTCATCGGTTACAAAGCGCCAATATATCTATATATATAATATGGGAATACCTTTTGGGCCCTTGGTCACACGGAGGAGATGGTAATGAAGCGTCTGTTGAGTTACGTCGCACTGGCGAATGTTTTTCACCATTGACTGTCTCAGACCTTTCAGCGTCTTCAAATGTTGCTTAAAACAGTGGACCATGGAGGAACTTAATGAACACTACCACCGTAGGACGTAAAAAAACTTATTTCGGGGTAGTCTAGACAGTAGACAGACTAAACTGTTAATACCCTTAATCAAAATAGAAGTTAGTATTCTTGTGGGCGTATTGATGAAGCGTCTGAGAAATCCCTGAGATATTATCTTCGCATGCTCGGTAAAGTAAAATCCGCTGAGTGACAAAACGCGGGATCACCACTTTTGTGAATGACCGACCTTCAGCCGATTGAGACGTCACGTCTGCCATGGTACACCCAGATCCAATCTTATGTAGCTGGCCACACATAGTTGAAAGAAATTAAGAAAATAAGATCGAGCGAAATGTTCAAAAAAGTATGATGGGTTAAGCGGGCGAGCAGAAAGAGCCTACACTATGGTTCAAGTGCAGCCAGTTGCGGTCATCCACAAGCTTTGCTTTGAACAAACCAACCAAATATGCACGTAGTCGGTTAGAATTTCCCATATTTTTACAAAATTTAACAAATACTATTGATAACTTCTGATGATTCATACGAACGACTAGCTGGTTAACCTTGTAGTATACCTCTCGCAGCCAACCAGAGCTCCTCATTTGAGTGAACCAACCGCCAACCACAGTCTTATTGTGAAAATACATAAAAACCCGCAGGGTTGTGTGCAGTTGCTTCATCTAATGTCTGTATACTCACAGTAGTTGACCTTGTCCCATGGATTATAATGACCGGATTTAGCCTATCACCCAACTTAGAGTAAGTAAAAAGTTTTTCGTAAGAAGAACAAATCATCTAATCGGCTATGATGTCAGAGGTGAGTCTTTTTCCTCGATAAACTTTGAAACTTGACCTTACCAACGGTCAGGTTTTCTGTTTGAGTTCTGATCTCAATAGACTACACTTTTTACGACTTTTAGGGATGATTTTGGTAGTGATAGTGGTTGGTCTCGGACGGAAAACTGTGCGTCTGCATAAAGAGATCAAAGTTTCAAGGTCAAAAATATTTTGGAGTTGGGGTTGAAGCTGAAGTTGGTTACATACATACATACGAGTATGTGTGTGCATGTACATATTTATATCAGTCTAATAATAAAGGGTGTTCTAAGGTGTGTGGTTTTCAATGAAGCAGTCCTTTCTTCGGAGTCTATCAATTTGGTTTGCTATTCCATAATAAACAGACTTACTTCGGAAGAAGGATTGCAAATTTTATTACCATAAGAACGCATGACGCACTGCGTCCAATATTCGGTAGGTAATTTGAGAAGCCATGGACTGGTTTCCCCCCAATCTAGTAAAAAATGCGCATTCTTAGAGATGCCGTCCAGTGCGGACCGAAAACGCAATTACTGCTGTGGAGCAGAGTATCAAAGAGAAGCAGAATAAGTCCATCTACTAACCCCTCGCAACAGGACCTCGGCTTGTGGTCTTACAAAATCTGACTCGTGCAAGGGTTGAAGCCGAAAGACCAACAAGCGCGTCGCACATTTGGTGAATGCTGTTCACAAGAAAGTTCTGGTTAGCTACTAAGCTCACCTTTGGTTGAAGTGATGAAGTTTGGATGCTAACCTACAAATCATGGTTGGGACCACGTGTCAACTTCAAAAAGTGACAATTAAGCCGACCATAATGTGAACGCCATAGAGTCATGATTAATAATTTGTGCCTGAATTGGACGATGTTGATGTGGACAACCTTTGGTTTCAATAAGACGGCACCATATTGAAGAAAACTTTCGGTGGGCGCCTTATCTCGTGTCGTGGGCCTGTGCTGTGGGCTCTAAGATCGTGCGATTTAACACCGCTAGACTAATTTTGTGGGTTTATGTTAGGTTGCTTGTCGTGCCAGCCGTGGCGCTCACTTGCTCGAAACCTTTTTAAAAACCAGACTTCTGTTGGGACTGTTCTGTCAGAAAGTCTAGAAAAAAAGTGATAACTAAAAAGTTGTTAATTTCCAAAAAATATCCCTTGAGAATCACATTTCAATAATAATAAAATAACTAACTACCTACATAAGCATAAATTTGTAAAAATTCGGATCTCCTCAAACTGCTGCGACCCTGTGTGTGGGTATGCTTGCCTGTGTTGCTATAATTTTATTTTTTCACCCAACCTATAAAATTATAAAATTCCTACCGATCAAATGAACAATTGTAATATTTAATTCAAGACGACACAGTAATTTAAAGAGCCACAGGAGAACGAGAAGAGAAGAGAAGAGAA